TGGACATAGAGGCAATTCTCTAAAGTGTTATATTATATCAAATACCAAGGGAAGTAAGACAGTGCTAGAAATTGATAAATCGGGACCAGAATATCCAATTTTGAATAATGTTGCTTCGGATCTCGGCGTGACAACCCTGGAGAATTTTTCACTAGTCTCCATTGAGTACCTAGATAAGACTGTATTTTCCAGATAAGTTGCAAGTGGCTTTTGTGGAAAATTATTTTGATATTTCCAGCCCTCTTCTAAGCCTCCTAAACTACTCACTCGATTGCATTTCCGACCGTCAATAACAGTGGCATACAGAATAGCGTATGTCATATTTTATTACCCTCTAACTTGTATTTATTACAATTTAGTTCTTTTTTTCTATTTATGCGAGATAGGTCTATCATGGTCCACTTAATTTACCTTGGTAAAAGGTGAATCAGGTGAAGCTGGATTAAAGCAAAATTTAGCATATTTGATCTAATATTGGACACATTTTCAGTAGTAATAGCCCAAGGACATTGATAATTGTCCGAAAAAAATTTATAAAAGATTTCGAAAGCTTCTCGCTTGAAAACAGACCGACGCGTCAACGGAAGTCTGTTCTCTATAAGCAACCAGCTTGAGAAAGTTGTTATAAAATTTTTGAGCATTTATCAATGTTCGAGGGTTCTTCTTCTTCTTCTTTATTTTGGCTTCTGCTCCATTGGGCAATTTGCCAGCGCATTAGGGTATGCCCGGGGTTGTGTCTGGCTCTAAATCTAAACCATATCCCGAGCACTAGTAGTTTGGTTTTGTTTGTGTGCTGAGAATTGAGAATTTGTGCCCGTGCTGTGTTGAATATCGAGCTATATGTTTGATTGAGGTTCAATGTAAGTGAGACATCACAACAAGTAAGCTACAGCCAAACATACACAACAAATCAAATGGAAATCACAAAGACATCACAAGCGGATGGGCTGTGGTGGGGGTTGGAATGAGTGTGGGTGGTTTTCTTTTTTTTTCTTTTTTTTTTTCCTTCGCTAAAAAGATTAAAGGCTCATCCTCAATCAATTTGATAGCGAAGTGGCACTTCGGCACGCAAGCTAGGAAATAGTATATTACATTACGAGTGTAGAAAGTGACAAATTTCACACGAGTGTTTTTTCGCGCAAGGCGATAGCCGAGTGCGAAAATCACACGAGTGTATGAAAGACGCTTTCTTACGATTGATGTACACCATTTTTCCTACGACCAGAAACCAATTTTCATCAATTTTCTCTTATTTTATTTCTTTTCATTTTCAACAGACGTGCTGAAAGTACTTTCAATCCACGTATTGAAAGTAAATTGTTATGTCAATCACAAATAATGTCAACAGTATTTTCCACACGTGTGCTGAAAGTACTTTTAGCACGAGTATTGAAAGTACTTTCAGCACGCGAGTGATATTTAGAGCTTTCCAAAGAACCAGCTAGTGCGAATTTTGTAATTTTCGTATGTGGTCGTAGGAAAATGTTGTTTCACGTTGGCATCCTCAATTCAATTCCGTGCTGGCATGCACGTCGACTCTGAAGTGAAGGTTGCAAGCTGCCAGCTTTTTCGATGCGTGCTGACTTATGTCATGCGCAGTACAGTAAAAAATAATTTAGGTTATCCTTGCGTTCGGTATTTTGCTCTAAGAGTAGAGCGGAGCCGTAATCACGTGAACAGCGAGCGCACAGAGCAGTTAAACGCTGTATCAGAGGGCTCGAAATTTTATTAAATGAACGTGAATAAGTCTGCCCGAGTACACTTTTTGAATAAACGAACGGTAAATTCATGCTCAGAGAACTCAGATCAAAATACCGAATGCACGGTATCTGACCGTACTACACGCACAGCAGACTGAAAATTGACAGCATTGAGGATGGGTATAAATTTTCCAGCACGCGTGCCAAAGTGCCACTTCGCCACCAGATTGATTGAGGATGTAAAGTCTGTTTTTTTTTTAAAGATAAAAGTCAAAATGACATTATGTTGGCAATACAATGTAAAATTGTCAATGCTTTCAAAGTTTTTACGTAGAAAAGGCTTGTGCTGCCAACATAGTTACTAAATTTTTGACTTGGGGAATTATCTTTAAATAAAAAACAAACTTTAGCTTAAGAAACAAAAATTGAATTACAATGTTCAAATTTCAATTTTGTTGTAGTTTAGGAATCTATTAAGAATCAAAACCGTTTCAGGAGTAATCCTGGAAAGTATTGTTGCCATGCTAAAAGGCGCTGGGATTTTTCTGTCAATGAAGGTTTGATAGATATCAAAGTTTGGTATACGATTTATAGGGCATTCCAAGAATATGTGGTCCAGGGTTTCCGTTTGGCCACATTTACAGTAGGAATCCTCTTTTACACCTATTCTGCAAAGATGTTGTTTTGTCAGACAATGACCCGTACGCATTCTAGTGATGGATGTGATGTGTCGCCTGTGTTTATATTCAAGATCTTTGAACCATATCTTTTTTGGAAATTCTGGCTGAACCTGTATGTACCAGTTTCCTTTTTCATTTAGTGATTTTTTCCAGTGTTCTGAGTGTTCGTTTTGTATTTTTCTTTTGATGAGGGGAAGAATGTGAAATGGTTCCAGAGGGAGATTCCTTGGAACATTTAGGATTCTTCCTATGTTGGCAAGTTTGTCAGCACATTCATTGCCCTTCAGACCAGAGTGACCAGGTATCCATGCCAGTTCAATGTTCGAGGGTTATTCGGATAGATTTTTTTTTGACAGCAATGTCCGAGACAATGTCATAGAGTGAAAACAACCCTAGGGCCGTTTTCAGTATAATTTTGACATAATTCGGTGATTTGTGTCACATGACAATAAATAACAAAATTTAACAGGCTGTAAGAACTCAAAAAAATTTCAATATAATAATTAAAAACAATAGTAATAAGCAAGACTAGACGGGAACTTCCACTCTTACCAGGTTCCAACGATGAAATATAATTTTTTTTGTAATTTATTTTGAAAAATCATTGATTAGCGATATCTTCAAAATTGCTAAATTTAACTAGGACATGTAACATATCAAGGCTCAAGTTTAATGTAGAATCCAAAATAGTTACTTGTGTACCAAGGCCGTAAAGTTGATCTTTTTTGGCCGAATCAGAAATTTGCGGCCGAGGCGCAGCCGTGGCCAAGCAAATTTCAGGTGAGGCCAAAAAAGATCATTCGGCCGAGGTGCACACAAAATTTTTTAGGCGAGCGTTTGTTCTTGAAAAAAGAAGAAAATTCAACACTACCTTTAAACTTTACTGATCAAATAAATAATCCAGCAAAGATTGTAAATTTTAACATAGAGTATAATATAGGTGGACCTGAAGACCATAACGTTGAGGATTGGCATTTTCTGAAAAAAATGCAAGAAAATACTTCTCCCAAATTTTTAATCATGCCATTTTTTTTAGCATTTTATGTGGAAATTTGGATAGAGCTAAAATTAGAAACTTGGTTTTATTGTGGTTACTAACTAATTGTATAGGTATTGGTTGTGTTGATAGCTACGGTACTGCTTTTCCGATTGTTTGTTTATTTTCACCAAAGTAGCGGCCGTAAAGTAATAAAGCAAATGCGGCTGTGAAGTTAATGCGGCCGTAAAGTAAATGCGGCCAAAAAAGATACACTTCAGGGATGATATTGAATCCGTAAAACTAATCTTTTTGGGAAAGTCGCCTAAAAACATATTTTAAAATGGGCCATTCCATTTGAATTAAGCAAGAAATGTAACATTTTTTGCTATATTTTCTAAAACAGACTCTCCATTTTTTTTTTAATGATAAATGCTCCTAATTCCTCATAAAAATCCCAACAACTTTTATATTTAAATTTTTTTGTTCCTCTGTAATTAACAGGTAGGTATACAGGGTGTTTGGGGGAGGGTTAGCCAAACTTGACTGGGTATAGATAGGCCCATTTCGAAGATATTTTATTTATACAATTGTGGCCTTAACTTCCCCTTTTTTATGAAAATGTTTTTTTCGTGAGTTTTTGATCTGTAGGGTATCCTTGATCTCGATGAAAGTTACAGAAGTTGAAAGGTCCATTTTTTAAAATTCTTGAGAATAATACAAGAGGAATGATATAAAAAAAACGGGGACCTTAAGGGCACTAGTGTATTGATGAAATATCTTCGACATGGGCTTATCTAAACACTCACCAAGTTTGGCTAACCCTCCACCAAATACCCTGTATAAGGTAAAAAGCACTTTCGTTGGATAACCCTGTACGTACAAGATATTGCAATTTGAAAAAAAATAATAATAATTATAAGGAAATTGAACCACATTTACTTCTTCATATTACCAAGAATGGTTGAGAAGGGTTTTTTAAACTATTTTTCTAGGGTTATTCAACTACGTATTGGAGAGCTTTTACACTTTTTTCCAGGAACCCATATTTAGACCAAATGCGTGGGTGCGAAACTTCAAAATCTTGGAAAATTTGTCACGCCTGCAACTATCATAATAAGAAAAGGGGTCCATGGGCGAAGGACTTATAGAGGCCAAAAATTTTAAGAAATTGGGGTTTAACATAAGATTGACAAACAGGGGGAAATGATATATATAGCGGCTTGGACAGGTCAGTGAAATTTAAAATTTTAGAATGGCTAAATGCAAGAAGAGTTGCAAATCTCGCCATTAATTTTAATATAAACCGTATTTACAATTTTACACCCACAGTTGTTTTACCCTAACACCCGCGAATAAACCACTCTGGGTCTTATTGTCATTTTATCTTACTATTATGTATGCAAAAATCAATGTTATTGTTTATATAATATTTATATTATTCTAATGACCTAATCGTTGGAACTTTTTAATTCTGGACTGGTTTTGGACATATAAGTTCTAGATTTTTATCATTTTTACTTTGCTTTGAGACGCTTCAATGCAACAAAGCATCTAAAAAAAAATGAGTATAATCACTTCTCCAAACATACCACATTCACGCTCTACATTTATCTCTTTCACGCAATCAAAAAATCCACATACTAGCTCGCGCATGCCCCACAGGCTTGGACGTAGGCGCTTTGATCGGCATCGTAGGCTGCGCAATTCCCACTGCTTTACGCTGCATCAGCCCTTGGCCCTTGGGTGCGTTGGCGCCCCCGTGTCCCATCGGCAAGTTATCTCTTGCCTCAAGAGCGTTGTATTCGGTTCCTCGGTAGTTGGCGTCAAAGAATTTCTTGAACCACTGCAGGAATTCGAAGTTGTCTTGGAAACGACCTTTCACTAGCTTGTCAATGGAGACGATCTAGAATGAGATGAGGGGCGTTGGTGCATTTTGTGTGTATTTTGTCTGTAACCCTTTGTTTGTTTTGGAGCCGTGTGCTTGTGATTGAACATTCAATATGCACCAGACAATATACAACATAATGATAATCCCTTATAAATAATTTTAAATCCATACAAAAGCAATAATATTTATTTTTGTGATGCCAAGTTAGTTGTAAAACAATGTAAATCTCAAGTTTTTGCAATGATGGCATCCATGAACCATTTTATAAAATACTTGAAACAAGCCTCAGGGCATCACTAATAAATGATTACTTTTGAAAAATACTTCCTACATTTTCCTGCTATTTGACTCCACCAAAAAATAGGTCACGATGGAACATTGTCAACTGTCATTATTGATAATAACATTTATACAAAGTCAAATACCAGAACTGTTTTAAAGAAGAGAGACGATTTTTTTCAAAACAGAAAAAGTAAAAAAACAAAAAACCAACGATGAGATGGCTGGACAGCAGCACTATTGAGTAGGGTCTACAAAGGAAGAGCAGGACAGCACCCAGTGTCTTTTGAATGGAGCAGGCCAACAAAAAATTCATGATCTATAATAATAGGGGGGATTGTTGAGGCATTTGACACATTCTAGATTCAAATAAAATTGCTACCCATCCATAACCTTTAAGCGTATGTACAAAGACTCAAAAAATTGCAGTCGTTTTAATTATTTTTCATTTTCAAAAAAAAAAAACTTTTCCAAACTTTCTCGGAAATTTAAGAATCCAAATAATATAAAAAATAACTCTGCAACTAATTTTCCGAAACAGTATTAGAATTTAAAAAACTTTGATTCCAATTGCCATTTGTACAATCCCCCCTAGTAAAAAATTCCCGAGCCCCTACCCTGCCTTGTAGACGGCGGTGGAGCGGGCCTATGAGGGGCTTGGTGCGTATTGCTGTGATGATGCCCGTGCCCATTCGTTTGGTTGGCCGCCGAACCTATCCCGATGCCCCCGCGAGCATCGATTGCGTCATACTCTCTACCGTCATAGTTGGCGTCGAAAAATTTCTTGAACCACTGCAGGAATTCGAAGTTGTCTTGAAACCGGCCTTTGATTAGTTTGTCGACTGGTATGATCTAGAATTTGTTGTCAGGGAGGGCAAGTTGAGAAAATTTAAAGTTTTATATAAAAAAAAAGTTGCCCTGTTAAAAGCTTCATCGAATATAAGATTACTAAAATCACTAATATTGCTACTAACAAACTAGTCTTACCTTATCTACGCTCATCTTTTTAAAGGAGGCTTGTAATATTTTAAAGTTCTGTATGTATTCGTGTTCCAGGTTTGTGCGAAATTTCACTCTCTTTAATTGCACAGATCCTAGAACAAAAAGTAACAATGGATTAGTGAAAGTATTAAGGTCTGTTCACTCAAATAAATCAGCTCAGTTTATCAAAAATTAATTACCAACTAATTTATACACTGTGTGTAATGTATTAGAGTCCAGCTTTCAGGGTGGAAGTCCTCCAGAAGCGGATATCCAACTATTTCTTAACATAATTTAATTAATTGACCAATGCAAAATTTGTCATTCCAGGTGATTACAATATGGAGCTTGAAGCAACTTCTTTACAAATTTCCAAGACAGATTTGATCGGTTGATAAGTCAATGAGACAAGAATGGAATTGAATGTTAACATGTGCAAGAGGATGACCTTTTATAAAGGCCAGAATCCTCTATTTTTGGAATATATAAAATTAACCACACACTGCTGGAATCAATTTGAATTTTTTAATGATATGGAAGTTCTTTTTGATGCTATAATAGTCACTTTCCTTACTGCAAGTATCACAAAGACGGTTTTTTTTTTACATAGTTATGCAACTCTTTTCCTATTCTTTCTTTTTGTTGAAAGTTCAATCTCACATCATATCTTCTATCTCAAAATAATATCATTACAAATTAAGTTCTTTTTTCACTGCCAATATTTAGTAATTTTGTGAAATATGCTTCTAATTAAATTAAAAAAAAAACAATCAAAACTGTGCTGAGTGTTGTAAAATTTGCATACGATTAATGCTAAGGAATCAATACCTGTACCTGGAAACAACATATCCATAAATTGACAGTAAGCGGCGCCCGTGCACAGCTCCTCGATTTTCCCAAAGCTACTTTGGAGGCACTCGTTCACCCAGGCTAGCATGTCATGCCTGGAGAGATTCTCGGTTGTCACATTGGTCGAGTATACATTCACCGCCATGACTGGAATTTAAAAAAAATCACTTGAGCACAAACACGAACTAAAATGTTATAAAGAAAATCTAAAACAAGATGAGGATCCCTTCCATTTTATAGCTGCACCGAGTGATTAATTTTGATTGATGCACACAATGTTCATTCACCTTGATCAAATTGAATCTATTTTTCTGTGTGTTAATTTTAATATATTATTTATTATATTGGTAATTAATTGTTTGTTACTGTCTACTAGTTAAGAAAATTGGCTGAATATTAAGTGTGTGACACCATTTTATTATTGAATTATTTTATTAATAGGCAATAACATAATTTTTGGCAAAATTAATGTCAAATAAAAACAGTTTAGACACAAATTGATTGGATATTGATTTCTAATGGCGATAGTTATTAAACTTACCTGATGAAGGCGCCTGACTAGATTGAGTATATGAGTTCTTTCTAGAGTTATACATTTTAGATGTTTTCTAGTGACTAACTCAAAAAAATTATAAATAATTATGACTGGGCAATGTGTAATATTAGTAGGTACGTACACATATGGCTTGTTATCAAATCTGCTATCAGTGGACTCAAACAATATGAAACGATTTGGGGTGCCTTATCTAAAGTGCAAATACTTAATAATTTCTAACATAGATTATTTTGCATAAATAATACAAGTTATCTGATGATAATTGCAAAAAATTGCAAATAAAAAAACACCCAAGCAACTAGAGACTTACTAATTTTTTAAACTCTAATGTGTAGCCCCCAAGCTTTTTCAGTTGCCCTACGATAAATTTGGCAACAAACCTTCTTTCTTGCAACACAATAGTTCTCTTGCTTTCAAAATTAGGTACCTATACCCTACTCAACTATGCCAAAATAAGAAAAAAAAGCCAATTAAATTTATAAAGCATGAAAGTTACTGAACTTAGCCATAAGAATGGATGATTTATTAATGTAGGCATATTCACTAATGCATTCAGTTGGTGGAAGTTATTTTTAGAATATTTTTTTTCCAATAAATTGAAAAGAATGGATAACCAAAATATAATACAACAATAGCCAGAAAAAATATCTTTAAGAATCACAAATTTGGAAAAAATGGAAGGTCAACTAATAGCCAAAAGACCCTGAAAATCTTAATAGTCTTGAACTCTTGAAGGGCATTATTTGGTAAAAGGCATCAAGAGAATACCTTGAACAAACCTTCACATTATTTTCCACTTCAATTACATATTTAAAAATAAGTATGTCCCATAAGGTCTGCTATTCAACCATATCATCATCTTGTCCAATTAAGAAATAATCAAGGGAATAATAAATTATGCATATTACAGGATGCAGGTGTGGCCTGTATAGATTTGGACTAGGAAGAAGATGGAACTCTATAATGAACAAACCTAGTGCTGAGATGTTGGACTCTATCTCGAAACCCCCAAATATGTGATAAGAATGATAATCCCTGCTTGAGTTTTAGTCCTCCTGAATTTATAACTTGTCTAGGCAAATTTATTAAGATTTTGGAATCAAATTTTATTGATAAAAGAAATTATTATTATAATAGTAGTTAACCTCACTGATAAGCCCAAGATAAAAGTGAATTAATTCAAGCCACAATTATTGCTTATTGCATGATCTACAGTGGACAGGCTAGCTAAATTGGTAAAGCTGATAACCAAATTAATATTCATTGCACTGCACTGCGAATAAAGCAACATGACTAATTTTGACCTAATAGTTATTAATAGATAACCGACAGCTAAATAACCGTCCACTGATAAACCTGTATTTTGACTATCCAGTCAGAAAAAGTAAAAATTTTTATGGAAAACTCCATAATGAATCAAGTTAGGCATAGGAAATACTTAAGCAATGCCATGTAAAATTCAATTTTCTTTTGAATGATGCCAAGAAACATAATAAGTGACATTTGAAAAAATTGACTTTTTGCCTGAGCTTTCAGCTACTTATCTTCTAAATTTAATTTATTATTTTAGAACGGTTTTCAAGAAAATTTGTTTCTCCTGAACAACTGTAGCCGCAATTTAAAACAAAAAATGACATTTATATCAAAAACTGTAAAAGATAAGTTGAGAAAGCTTGGATGGTTCAAACTCAAACCAACCGAACTATGTTGAAAAAGATGCCAGTTTCTAGGTATTTGAAATACGAAAGTTAGTGCTTACATTTTACATTTTTGATACACCCTGTATAGTTGAAGAGCTGAAAATCTTTTAGGTGCCGCTGGAACCATTGATTATGGCTACAAACCAAATTTGAAGTTTCTAATGCCCCTGCAAGTTCAAAAACTTTTGATGCACAGGCTACATAAATCACCCTGTATATAACATGTTCTGCATTTCATATGTAATAATAGTTTCAATTTTTTGACTTTTTGTTATTTTTCTAAATGCTCAAAGATGAAATATTATTTCTAACTTTTGCAGAAAGTGTCTCCTCCGCACTTGTTGGGAAAATAACAATTTTTTGGTATTTTTCCAACGTTTTAGAATTAGGTAAATAGGTATGTTCAGCGTAATTGGTTATAAATGTCACCCCCTCTCCCTTTTCTTATATAACATATGAAAACGTTGAAGCTGTAAGGCCAAGTGTTCAAGATAATTCAAATTTGTCTTTTAGACGTCGTTTTCAGCAATGATTATTTCTTCCCAATAATCATCGAAAACCAACTGGAGGGATTTTGGTTCCAACAGGATAGTGCTACGTGTCATACCGCCAACAAAACCATGGCATTATTGCAAAGGTGGTTATTCCTGAGATACCGACCGAAATGTATGAAAACGTGATGATAAATTAAATTCGCTATTGTGAATGAAGTTGTGGAGGTTATTTCACCGATATTATTTTCAAAATATAATTGTGATCAGTTGGTCTTCCGAATGACATGAAAACAATTTGGCAACGCAGCAATGTCTGTGTTTTATCTCATTTTAAAATACTAAAGCACTAATTGGATCACCGAACTGATTCCATTTTTTCTTTGACTATTTAGGAGCATGTAAAAAGCACCTAATACTGATACCAAAGAAAAAAAAAAAAAAATTACTATAGGGGACTGCTAGCTTTCATAAACCTAGCAGTCCCTTTGTTTTTTTGATTTTCTCAAAAACTAGAGGAGTACCTAATTTTTAATTAGAGGCCCTAATTAGCACCTAATTATTATATAGTCCCCAAAGATTTTTTCCACCATAGGACTGCTAGGTTTATAGACCTATTTTTAGGTATATCCTCGAGTATATCTCAGTGGTCAATGTATTCTCTAAGATCATAGAGAAGTATTTACATAAAGAAAACAATATTATCATTTGTTGATACCCACCTCTGTAGCAGAGAGGTAAATAGTCGCAACTCCACTTTTAATCAATATTGAGTTAATGGCTACGTTCACCAGAACCAAAACGGATTGTAAACAGTTTACAAATAACAACAGAATATGTTGGGTAAACTCTTGGTTCTACTGAACGATTCAAGTTTTCAATGATAGAACGTCACCTTCTGAATGACAGGTCACCACACAAAACACAGTGTTGAAAATTAATTATAAACACTCTGACATTCTGCTTGCAAAAATGGCGACCGTTTGCAAAACATGTTTGGTTTTAACATAAATTCAATGTAGCGTTCAGCAAAACAATCGCAAACCATTTACCAACATTTGTATCTGGTGAACTGAAAGTCCCGCTTTGTTGGTTGCCTGAATTTTTAGTTTTGAAAAGACAGTAACTCCATGTATTAGTGGGGTAAAGAATAGTATGTCCTTTATTGTTAATGTTAACCTACCATCAAAATTTTAGTGGTAAACAGTAGTAACTCCATGGAATGGCGTGCCGTTGATTTTTTCAAGTTTTTTTACTATTTTGAAATGATGGAAGGTGTTAAAAGACATACAGCTGTATGCAACATCCTCTTTTAACTTAAAAGCGCTTTTTAAAACTGGTCACTTTTAAAAATGTGTATTCTAATCCATACAAATTTTTTAAGGTACAGGTTTTAAAAAGCTTCTTTTTTGTCTAAGACATCTTTAAGAGAATTATATTTTTAAGTATTTTGTGCTCTGGTTTTGCAATGTAAGACTCGAGATAAGACTTCCATTTTTATGATTACCTGTTTTTTTGAATTGAGGTAAAAAGTCCTAAATCCAAAATCAAGATACAGGTGAGTATGGCTGAAATAATGGTATTGGTTATCAAAACTGCTAATCAAGTCAGGTAACATACCATAATGACAGCTTGGTACAGTGTATAAAAATTGGTCAAATTTTAAAGTAAGTTAGCATTACAACAAGGGGTGTGACACTTCCAAGTATTTTTTCTATTTTGGTGTCATATTAAAGTCTTTTCGACACTAAAAGTAGTTTCGAAAAGAAGCTCTTTGTGACACTCCTTTTTTACTTATCGAAGGTTGGTAACACTGGCTGACTGATGGCCATCGAACTGTCATTCGTGATTTTATAATAGAAGATTTCTATATTTGGCAAGTAGTGTTACCAACCTAAACATATGAATTCAGGAAATATGAGAATAAAATGTTCAAGAAAAATTTGTTTTTCCTAATTAAACAATACCAAAATAGAAAAAATAGTATAAAATATTCGTTTCATGAGACATTTTATCGCACTCGCCCTTTAGAAAACTCGCCTCCAGCTCGTTTTCTAATATAGGGCTCGTGCGATAAAATGACGTCTTATGAAACTTGTATTTTAATGTACTATTTTACACCTGATTTTTGATTTTCATTACCTTAATGGAAATCAATGAAATCAAAAATTCGATTTGGAAAAATCTCAGGATTTCACTTGATTTCAACGATTTCCTGAGATAATTATTTGATTTTGCTGATTTCACTTGATTTTGTTGATTTCCCGGATTTACATTGATTTCCCGAGAGTAAATGTGATTTTACTAGATTCACACTGATTTCATGATTTCAGCAAATTTCAATACTATTTACTGTATGTTGAGAACGATAATATTAGTAATGACTCATACCATTAGCAACGCTATATCAAGTAAGTGGCATCATAATAAAGTCGAGAAGTTTTACTGTGCCAATACTACCACTTCACAGAAATTACACCATGCTGTGCTGTGAGTAATTTCGATCTTGGGTAGTATAGGCATCAGGCGAGGGGTGAATAGCTGACTCAAAATGTGTAGGTACACTGAGATCACCGACTGCCAAATTCCACAATTTTTAAGGGAGAAACAGCACCCCATGTACACTCTGTCCCAAATTGCTTGTAATCACAGGGTGCCTCGGTAACCAGTAGAGATAGAACTTTGCAATTTTCGCCAACCTGTATCAATTTTTCGTAAAACTTTAAATGCCGCAACAGAATTGTGCCACCTTTTTTCGTTCCCGAGATACAGGGTGAAATAGAAATTTTGCGCTTTTTTGGGGTGGTATCATATTTGGGACACCCTGTAAGATAGAAAAAAGGAGAAAACTACTATACAGTGTGTCCGAAATTCGAGTCTCTACATGGGGATTTCGCTCATTATGAGAGATACAGGGTGGCACAAATTAGGAAAGTTTTAGTTGTTGTCGAACTTGTATTATTATTTTAATAAAATATTCTTTAACCCTCCATTAGGCGCGCGAGTTTTTATAACATCATTAGTCGAGCTGTATCACAGACATACATACGAAATCATTGATAAAAAAAAAACAATTTCTATGTATTTACTCAACAATCATTTTTTACTAAAAAAAAGATTCCAGAAGTTGGATTCTGTTTTCGCAGTCGTTGTAGTTTGGCCAACAACGCCCAGCAGCTTTACCATACTATTATGTGATCTCTTCCGATTCAGCTTGGGAGGAATTTTGTGTTATCGAGTTCCATCTTCACCTTAGATGAACAGCCTCTTGTACCATAATATGTATATAAAGAAAATACCAAAAAAATAGTTACAATTGAAGAGCACTGATGGTAACAAGAAAAGTCGCGTTGTATCAGTCAGGTATAAAGCCGAGCGCAGCCCTAGTTTTTTGGAAATTCGAAATTTCCAATTAGAGTAATTTTGGGAAAGTAATTAGTATAGGGTACCTAAGGACTACTACAAGCCATTATATTATAGGGTTTTTCCTTTTTGATTTATTTGCAAAAATGATAGGCATGTATCTCTCAGATACACGCGCGACTAATGGAAGGTTAATTCGAGACCTTACGCCTTTGGATTTTTATTTATGGAGGCATATTAAAAATGAAGTTTACGAATATGATCCACCCGAGAATCAGAATATTTTGGAAGAAGAGTGCAAAATTGCTTTAATTTTGTAAACGAAAATACTCTAAGACGCGTAATCAGAAAAGTTTTAGACAACTGCAGAAAATGTCACAGAGCTAATGGTCGACATTTCACCCATTTAAATAATGTGTGATTTTTGCTGAAAGATTGATTTTACATACATACCGATTTTAGTATTAAATTTACATATTGTTTGTTTTTTTTTTTTCACTTCACTATCCCTTCCTTCAGTTCCCCTTACTTCTTTTTCCTTTATTCAGTACAATTTAATAAATAATAAATAAAAGAAGCAATAAAGAATGCACCAAGTTTGAGAGTTTTCAATGCAGAAATTGATACATTCCTGAGGGGCACATAGTAGGTAAGTAAGTGAGTAGTAATATTTATTTTTGTAACTAACAATACCTTTTGTAAATACTTGTATTGCAATAACTAGCCAAGTGCTAAATAAAGATCTATTTATTATTTATTTATAATTGCCAGAAGACTTCAAAAATACCGATTCTAATATTAAATCATAAAATCTGTTTTTTTTTTTTAAGATAATTTCCCAAGTCAAAAATTTAGTAACTATGTTGGCAACACAAGCCTTTTCTACATAAAAATTTGAAAGCATTGACAATTTTACATTGTATTGCCAACATAATGTCAATTCAACTTCTATCTTTTAAAAAGAAAACAGACTTTACTTATTTGCTTTTATTCTTATAATTATGAGCAGTGTTGCCAAATTTAGTAAAAAATCGGTTCCAACTGTATTTTGAAGGACTTGCAAAACTTTTTCATAGCTTGTAATACATCATTTTAAAGGATTTTTTTCGCAGAATATTATTTTGTTGCAATCTAAGATTGTCGCCATAAGAAATAAGAAAATTTTGGTTAATAACTCGAAAACAAACGACAATCGGAATGTTTTCAAATCACAAAAATATCTGTCTCAAAAAAGTGTTTAATAATGTCGAAGTGAGAAAAGTCTAAAGTTAACAATTTATGAATTATTGACAAAAAATAAAATTGGCTATTTTCAGTTTTTCTCGGATTTCTAGGAAACAGAAAACTTTGGAGCAAATTTAACAACAGGATATAAATGAGCAATAAATTTCCTAAAACTTTCCTAATTTGAGCCACCCTGTATCTCTCATAATAAGCGAGATCCCCATATAGAGACTCGAATTTCGGGCACACTGTATATAGATATTTTTATGTGGTATTCAGTGTTGTAGTCAATAGTTAATATTGTGTCACAAAAAGAAAAAAATCCGAATTTTTTGGGATCAAAAAATACAAGGTGTCTCATTTATAAAATACTAAGTTTTGGGGTATATCTCGAAAGGATCTGTCTAAAAAAATTGTTGACTACAGCACTAGATTTTACGTAGAAATATCTATCTACAGCAGTTTTCACCTTTTTTCTATCTTACAGGGTGTTCTATTTCACTATGTATCTCTGGAACAAAACAAGGTGGCAGAATTCTGTTTGCGGCATTCTAAGTTTCACCAAAAACTGGGTCGCGAAAAACACAAAGTTGCTGGTTACCGAGAAACCCTGTAATTACAAGTAATTTGGAACACAGTGTTTGTATATGCGCATATAGGCCCATTTTATTAATCGGGCCAAAATTAAACAGTCAAACAAAAAAGGCGCAAATTTTGAACATTTTATTGGTGGAGGCACTGCCTTAGAAAACAACGATTTCAGGATTTCAACAAATTGTAAGTGATTTGCAATGATTTTAAGTGACTTACAAGGATTTTCTTGATTTTGATTGATTTTTCGGATAGACTTGATTTGCATTGATTTCGAATGATTTTAGGAGATTTTTCAAGATTTCAATGATTTTAAGGGATTTAATGTGATTTTGCTTGATTTTACAGATTTTGGTGATTTCTATTGATTTATTTGAGTTTAAGCAAAGTGTACACCTGATTTCAGGAGTGTCACACCCCTTGCACTACATCTTGTTTTCTTTTTTACTGATTTTTTTTATTTATGGACATACCATTGTTTATCTCTCTGCTACAAGTGCTACAGATCTATTGATGATGATATTCAATATGCATTAAGAAAAAACCGAGGAAAAAACCGTAGTACACTTGGTGCGGTTGTGGATTTTTTTGACAGTATCTCAGGGGCTCTAAATAAACATCAAATATTAATAGTAGTTTTCATAGACTTAAAAAAGGCATTTGATTTAGTAAGCTTGGATATTCTTTTGGATAAATTGTATAAAATGGGGGTAAATGGGATTTAGGTGTTTTACAAGGGTTACAAGCACTGATTACCTGAAAACTTATTAGGAATGTGATTTCAATTATTGCTTCTTTTCATCTCTTCTACTTCATTCATCACATCAGATCTTTTTAATTGAGAAATAAATTTGTTTGATTGATTTTCAAAAGAGGTCGGATTTATAATGTAATTTTCAATTATTTAAACACTATCAATAATTATCAACAGTCGTTATCTATGAAAATATAAACAGTTTGATTAATTATGCAAAAGTCTATTGACCCATCTGCCCACAATAATTATATGGTAATTCTTAAGATGAAAGAATGGAAAATCACTAAATATTTGGAGGCAAAAAAAAACGTACCGGTTCTTAATTCCAAGTACTACCGTTAGGACTTTGTACTTTCTTTTGGTACCAACGCTGTGTTCTATAAATAACCTCTTTGGGTTTTCTTTTCGAGAGAATTGTTTGGAATGAATTTTCACTAATTTTCCTCGTAAATTCACCTACATAAATTGAGTCGGTTTTCGTGAGTGGTCCACTTTTTATAGTGACATTTGAAATTTTTTTTGCACAAACGTCAACGGCTTGTTACAAAAGAGAACCCATTGCGAAAATGCAAGCTTTCGGATTTCCCGTTGAAAATAATAAAAAATAGATTACCTGAATGTTTTCGACAGCCTTTTTTTTCACTAAATAATTTGCTAAACTACTAATTATTACTTGCTCATTTAAAATACAAAAATCACACCCGGTTTTTCGGCGGCCATTTACAATTTTGCAAGGAGAGAAAAGTCAGTAAAAAAAATTTAGACAGAGCTGTCAACGTCGAAAGTCAAAAAAGAGAAAAAAAAAGTGTACCGTTTTCAACTTTTGTTATTTCAGAGCACTTTCTAGCCGTTTTAGCCTTTGTATGTGAATCATTCCGAACAGGTTTGAAACTAATTCTAAGGGTTGGTTATCAACTATTTCGTGATTTTATTTTACTGAGAATGATTTCGGAACAGATCTAAGCGGAACAGCAAACGAAAACGCATGTTTCGAACTTATTGTTCTTGTTCTAGAACCAGTGGAACCTGCTCCGAATAACGGAGTTTGGAGTGTAGTTTTTTGTGTTCGTGTATTTACGCTAAACCCTACCGATTGGAGTAATTCTTTTGAGTGAACAAGCTGAACCCAGCTTTATTATGGTATTGTATTTTTTTAACGCCTTTTTAAGTGCTTTTTTTATTTATTTATTTCCATATTGAGTTATTTACTGTAACTCCTAGATGACGCTAAGCCGCTGGGGCTGCACTAGCGACATCTCTTGAATATCTCATTAAGCATCAATTTGTTTGACGTTTGTTTACCTGTTTCTGTTTACCTGCATTCTCTTGGGCACGTTTCGTTTTATCAACGGTATATCAAAGAATATCGTTATCGTTTATTCTTTCTTTGATAAATGGTGTTCGGAATTTGTTTAAATTTTATGCTGCTGGTGGATGTCCAACTATTTATAATAAATATACAACTGAAACTATAATGTCTTATGGACCTGGAAAAGTTAAGACTGATTCTGATGATGAAGCTGACTACGGTGTTGAATTAAAAATGGTAAGTTTTGTTGGGAATTTCCCAAACCTAACCCAAAAACTCATCCATTTAATTAATTTTATGTCCGATTGACCAATAAAGTGCTATTTATAGAACAGTTCTGCGTCAGTAAAGTAGCACTTTATTGTACTAGTAAAATAAAGTGCTAATTTATTTTACTAGTAAAATAAAGTGCTACTTTATTACCTACCTGGACTACCTGATAAGGTGAAACAGGTCCTGACAACCTGCCAAAGTGAAACAGGTCCTGACAACCTGCCAAGGTGAAACAGGTATATCTACGCAAATTTTACTTTTTTCAATCAATTTTTTTTAATTTTTAACAAAAACCAGTCAGAATCGTACATAAAATCATGTATATAACGCTTACATAAACTGGCTTTATTGACTCATTATTTAATAGCCTCGCTCGCAAGCTCGCTCGGCCATAAAATTATTTGTACAATAAAGCCTTACTTTATGTACTTGTTATATAAATAGCTATTAATTATTCAAAAAAAGCTAGGCACAGTAGGTTGTGATTTATGTACAATGCCTTTTTTCTTTTTCACTTTCGAGCATTGAGCAGATTTTGTTGACTGATTTTCTCTTTTCTGGGATTCAAGCCACCGAGAATAATGTAATTATGGACGGAAAATTAATTATCCTTTTGCCGCAAAAAAATAGTTTTTTTTTTTTTGTACAGTTATTGGCTTCTGCTCCTTTCAAGGGCAATTTGCCAGCTCATTTGTTCTTGTGCAGCAACTTTATCTGGCTCTTGACCATCATCGTTGCACTTTCATCTTCTTCACTACCTATGTGTATTTCTTATCTTCTCTCTTCTGTTCTTTTCTTTCTTCATTGATTTTCAATAATTATCTTCAGGTGATGGACTGTTAGTTTGGACATACACAACAGAGGATTGTTTATGCTTTGGAATCTGTGAAAGATAATTATAATTTTTTTTTTTTTTTGTCAAGTTTTATTTTTATTTTTTTGTTTCTGATAGTTTGGGGTTGTAAAGCTAAAGCTCTATCTTATTGTGTTTCAGAAAATTATTCAATATATTAATTGTATTGTTATTCAATTTTCCTAGTACAGTGGTCATTGATAGAGGTGTTGCATGATCCTCTTCCCTACTTAAGATGTAGTAGAGGTCGTTATTTGCTATAGCATTTATTGGGCATTCCATGAATATGTGGTTTAGGTCCACAACCTGGCCGCACTCACAGTTTGGTGATTCTTTGATGCCTATTTTGTGGAGGTATTCTTTGGTTAGGCAGTGTCCACTTCTCATTCTTGTTATTGTTGTTGTGTGATTTCTGTGCACGTATGGGAGTTTTTTGTACCATGGCATTGTAGGAAACTTTTCTTATATTTGGGCATACCATCTGCCTTTTTGTTTGAGGGATGCTTTCCATGCTTCGTTGTGTTCTATCCATATTTTTTCCTTTATTATATTGTATATTTGTCCATTGTTTAGGGGTATTCTTTTTGGGACGTATAGTCCTCTTCCTATGTTGGCATGTTTGTCTGCTGTTTCATTCCCAGGTATATTTGCGTGTCCAGGAATCCATGCAATTCTGATGTCCTTTTCAGTTTCGTTTGCTGCTTTTATTAATGCTTTGGTTCTTAGGGTGGAGTAGTCGATTTCCGGGTTGATGTATGTTTGGTTGAGTCTGTCAATTGCACTCTTTGAGTCTGAGAAGATTATTGCATTTTTTATATTTTTTCTGATTATGTATAATGCTGCTTCTTTAATTGCCATTATCTCTGCTGTGCATAATAATATGTCAATTTCATTCGGGAGTCTGCAGCTGAAGTTGTGGTTTTGACTGGGACAGTGTATTCCATATCCTGTTTTTTTGTTTTGTCTTGATCCATCCGTGTAAATAAAAGTGTAATCCTTTTCGTATTTTTCTGTGTTTGCGATGAATGAGATTCTTGCATATGGATCATTTTTCCTTAGCCCTAAATCTATTGTGGGTAGTTCACTAATTTGTGTTTCGAATTTAATTATATAGCATGGTAATCTATCTAGTGTGTCTGTTTTGCCTTTGTATTGATATAGATAGTCTCAAGGCCTGTACAAGGAATGGGATGTCTTTTCTCCTCCAATAATTGGCATGATGCATATATTGTAACTTTATTGCTTTAATGATTGCTACAATGGGGTGGTTATTGATATTGATGATCTTGGATAGGAATTTGATTCCCAATAATTTTTGTCTATGTTCCAGTTGCATTTGTTTGGCCTCTGCCAATAATACGTTGGTTGGAGTTGTTTTTGTGCATCCTAGGACTATTCTGAGAGATTGGTATTGTATACTTTGTAGTTTTTTTTTTTTTTTTCTGTCAAGTTCAGTAGGAATGCTCCGTATTCAAGATGTGACATAATTAAAGCGGAGTGTATCTTTATTAGGGCCATTGGGTCGGCACCTCATCTAACCCTTCCAAATATTTTGATTAGGTTTAGACCATTTTTGGCTTTTGTGGTTATGTGTTCTATGTGTTTATTAAAGTTGAGGTTGCTATCCAATATGAATCCAAGATATCTGACTGTTTCTGTTAGTGGTATATTTTCATTCTGTATTTTTATGGGAGGGTATACTGTTTTCCTTTTTCCCTTTGTGAAGATCATGGCTTGACATTTATTGGTAGCTAGGGTTAGTTTGTTTGTGCTCAACCAACTTGCTGTTGTGTTCAGTGATGTATTTATTTTGCCTATTATCTGCGGTATGTGTTTTCCCTTGGTGAAGATTACTATGTCATCTGCATATGCGCTCATGATTATGTCTTTTTCTATGTTTTTGAATATGTCTCTGATATAAATGTTAAATAGTATTGTGCTCAATGGGGATCCTTGTGGAAGTCCTCTGGTTGCTATTGATGGTCCTATTAGTTTGCCTTGTGTGTTTCTGGTGAATAGTTTTCTATTTTTTAATATTTTGTAGGTATATAATATTGCATAGTTCTGAGGGAATTTCTATGTCTATTAGTTTTTGGTAGAGTATATGTATGTCTACAGCATCAAAAGCAGATTTCAGATCCAGGAAAACGGCCACCACTGCCTCATTTCTGGTGAATGCCAAGTTAATGTAAGTAACTAGATGGCTTAGATTGTTGTGTACACTTTTTTTTTTCTGAAGCCTGTTTGTGAGTGCGTTAGCAGTTTTTTATTTTCTATATGCCAGTCCATTCTGTTCTTTATCATTGTTTCTAGAGTCTTAAGATAGCATGATGCTAGAGCTATTGATCTATAGCTCTCGCTTGTTTCTGGGTCCTTGTTTGGTTTGTTTATGGCTATAATCAAATACTGGTTTCAATAATTATCTTCAGGTGATGGACTGTTAGTTTGGGACATACACAACAGAGGATTGTTTATGCTTTGGAATCTGTGAAGGATAATTTTATTTTATTTTATTTATTTTTTTTTATTTTTTTTTTTTAATTTTTTTTTTTTTCAAGTTTTATTTTTATTTTTTTGTTTCTGATAGTTTGGGGTTGTAAAGCTAAAGCTCTATCTTATTGTGTTTCAGAAAATTATTCAATATATTAATTGTATTGTTATTCAATTTTCCTAGTACAGTGGTCATTGATAGAGGTGTTGCATGATCCTCTTTCCTACTTAAGATGGGTAGTGGTATCGTCTAACCCAATCGCCTTTCCTTATAAGGTAACGCTCATTCGGGTACAGTCGGCCACAGCCCAGTCGGCTCGAGTCGAGCGAGAAAGAGAAACAGAAACAGTCGGAAGTGCGAGAGAGAAAGATAGCGCGATTGGGATTCAATCGACACACCCCTTGGAACAAGCTTCGGCAACGTTGCCGATGTGGCAAGAATTTTTCGAATATGGTGGCAACGGTCAAACATCCTGATGTTTGTAATTAACCCCACGTTTTGCAGTATTTTTAATCCGAATTGAAGCACTAAAAAAACATCTAGTCGGCAGTCGGTTGGTATATATCGAACAAATATTGGACATGGGCGTTACATTCGTTCCTGGGGAGTAGCCTACCCCAATGATTCAATGTATAGGCGCGTGCCGACCACTGATCTCAAAAATAAATGTATAAACAAAGAACGTTTCTAATGTTGCTATTATTAACGAAATCATAAGGTATGTTTCTGCAGAAATCACAAACCAGTCAAAGCGAATTTCATTGGTTGAAAACAGTCAGAAACAGTCAGAAAACTAGTTTCAACCAATGAAATTCACTCTGACTGGTTTGTGATTTCTGCAGAAACACACCTATTATGTAAACAACTGGGACAGCTGCAAGCGTGCGCGGTAGATACATGTACTGTGCGCTTGCGCAAAATATTGTCAATGAAAATGAAGGATATATCAAAATTTAGAACAGTCGTTCGAAAGATAAGTTACTGCGCAGGCGTTAGGCTGTACCGTTGTACAACTGTTAAAATATTGACCCCAAATTTTCGTACAAGTTTAGCCAATCAAGCCGAACGATTGTTTATACATTTATTTTTGAGATCAGTGGTGCAGCCGACATAAATTATTATTTTGGGCTACTGCAGCGATATTTCCTCGCTGCTTCTATGTTGTCAGGGCTTACAGTACATAAACTTGCGATAGATTTTCTATGCATTTAATAGATAGAATAGAGCGACGTGATGGTGAAATATTCTTGTATACCTAATGCAGTGTTTCAAATCAGAATAAAAATGCTATACTTAATTATTGATTTTTTGAACTGAAATGAAAACTTGGGTACTGAATTATTTATTTATTTATTTATTTATAAAAAAAATACATACCTACACTTGAAGCTGTACAGAATTTATTCGTGGCTTCTGATGTAGTAGTTATAAGAATATTTAAAGCAAAACAGATATCAAAGTTTGTACCTTGCAAACTTGATAAATTTGTGTCGAGGCCTCTCAAGCCTATTGATGTGGATCTGATAGTATAAGTGACCCAACTATGCATGAGAATTCTAGAACTGATCTATTACTTGTAAAGTCCCTAGTAGTTCTCTTAATAAAACCCAATATTCTATTAGCCCTGCCAAATGCCACTTCAAAATGCTCAGTGAACATTAACCTAGATAGACACCAAGATCTTTAATGACAGAAACTTCAGACAAGCGAACATGATTTAAGCAATACTGAAAGGGTGACTCTACTGAATCTTATACAACAACACTTATCAATGTTGAGGAATATGTTATTAAGCTGACACCAGGGATGTGCCGTAGACTATGAAATCTACTTTACGCGGTTTGTCTACTTGTTGTCTACGTATTGTTTACATCCACTTTTTTCCATGTAGACTATGTAAACTATGTAGACAATGTAGACAACAGAAAATTTGAAATTTAAGTAATTTTTGGAAAGTTTGCATTGCATTAAATTTATATTGTATCAAATTAGACATTAATCTGCAGTTTAATTAACTTTACAAGCAAAAAACAAAACAAAGCAAAAACAGAAACAAAACCTTAAAGGCCTGCCAACTGTCAAACATTGTATATTTTACGCGTTGTCTACATATTTTACACGTTGTCTACATAGATTACATAGTTTACATTGTCTACGCGTTGTTTACACCAGACGTAGACAATCCTTATTTACACGTAGATGCCCATCCCTGGCTGACACCAATCATAAACAATGTTAAGATCGTTTTGCAGCATAAGTATCTCTTGAGCTGACGTCACCTGACGATACAACTTCAAGTCATTAGCGAAGAGTAAAAAATTTGAGGAGAGCAACAATCCTAAATCATTGATAAATAAGCTGAACGGGGCCCAAGTGAGAGTCTTGGGGTACCCCAGAGGACGCATTGGAAAGAGAAGAACGATAGTCATCGATCTTGACTTGAAAGTAAAGGTCCAGAAATGCCATAACTTGAGAGCTTTGAAAGAAGGATGTTATATGTGCGTTTTTATTCACCGATGAGTTAGCTATCTTTGTTTAGTGAATAGAAAATGACAATGACCGACATAGAATCGTCGATCCATCGGTAAAATTTGATGAGAATAAAAACGCAGGGAATCAAATGCTTTACTGAAGTCTGAAGTCAGTATATATATTGAATGAGTGTCTGCATTGTTATCAAATGGCGAATTTATAAAATTTGTAAAGAGAAACAGGTTCGTGTCAACAGATCTACCTGCTACAATCTGATGAAATATTTTCGAAAGAATAGGATACTCAAATAACTTCGGAATTGCAGACAGAGGATGCTGATCATTCTTACTGCCTCAGTTATGAATAGGTCAATCATAAGAGATCTTCCCTAATTTTCTTTTGAAAAATCAGATTTTTTAATTCGAAAGAAAACCATAGGAAATGTATTGCTGTAGCAATGTCCTTTATAGTCCAAGACGTGGCGTCAAAAATATGTTTTCTGAAGGGTTATATTTTTCAAAATAGGTCGTACTTTAGTGATAGAATGCCTGTGTACAGTCAGCAGTTACAGTTCCGGGATAGCTGGCGCTGGGACGTGCGCAAAGTCGTAATTTTGAGAAACATCTCACTGTTTTCTCAAAGCTCAAAATTTATAGAAATTTTGCACATTATCTGTTTGAAGGTCACATATAACGTATGTCAATCATCAGACGTTTAGGTTGCTGCAAAAAAGGGTGTCAGACGCCCTGAAAGTTTTTATATTATGGCATTTTCTTCGGTGTTCCTTCACATATATTTGTCAAATACCTGCAATAGTATATTGTGTATTTAGGTGGAAAAGTGACACATTCTCGGCTGACGGTGACGGGCGAGGCGTAGCCGAGACCGGCAAACACCGAAAGCCGAGAATGTGCTTTTTCATAGAAATACACATACTATTTTTTCTGCGATCGGTTAAATACCGGTTAAATATTTGTCTTTTAGTTCCAATTATTCAGCAATACGAGAATCACTTTCCCGGCCTAGGCCGGAAAAGTGTTTCCTGTATTGTTATTCATTAATTCCTTAGCAACTATTGAAACATAATTAAAATACCAGAATATTGAGTTTTGCGACCTGTCAACCGGTCAAAAATGCTGACATTTCTTGTCAATCGCAGAAAAAAAAAAATTGAAACGACGCCGAAGAAAATGCCATAAAATAAAAAATTTGAGGGCGTCTGACACCCTTTTTGCAAACAGTTAATGTGCAAAATTTTGAGATTTGAGAAAACAGTTTAGATGTTACGTAAAATTACAACTTTGCGCGCGTCCCAGCGCCAGCTATCCCGGAACTGTAAGTGCTCACTGTACACAAGCATTTTACCACTAAAGTACGACCTATTTTGAAAATATAGCAGCCTTCAGAAAACTCTTGCATGTTTTCGATGCCAGCTTATTCAAAACCATTATGGAAACAAAACATATTTCAGCAGTCGAACAGTCGGAGTAAAAGTTTTAACAGCTTCGTTTAGATCATCTGTCATAATGGATCGCTAATCAAAGGAAAGAAAATATTCATTGATTGATATTCAATCAATTGAAATTCAATCAATATTCAGATTGAATATGGCATTTTTAAAGTCATAGAAAAAATAATTAGGAGGATTCAGAAATTGCTTTATCAATAGGTATGGAAAACTCTAGAGCTGGGTGATAACGATCACAGCCCACCAGACCGTCAGATATTACAATTGAACAGGATCAAAGTTGACAAAGCATAAATCCAGGATTGAATCATGATCGTTAATCACCCCATCGTATTGAGACAGATTGAGAGAAACAATACCATCACTTAACAATATTTCCTTAGTCGACCTTACATCACCAGGTAATAAACTAGAGATATCCTTACTAGTGGATCGCGTTATTTGAGAAAAAATAAAATCTCCAAGAACAATCACATTATCAAATATCCCACAGCCGTTAGTAACTGATTCCAAGTGGTTTTCATAATGCAACACATCCGTCGTAGGTGGAATGTAGACACAACCAATACAGAATCTAGCGTCACTGAAACCCAGCTTTCTTCTACCGATGCTACACCAATTGACAGGCGATAAGATTTAAAACAATTATTTACTGCCAGAAAGACAGAAAAATAGCATCATACGACAAGCAGTGGCGGCTCTTCCTTAGGTTTGCAGGTTTGCGCAACCCCCAAAACAAAACTTAAAAAATATAAAACAAAAATACTAGAACTAACTTTTAGTACCTAATTATATTTAAAAAATAAATTATACCAAAATTTGGGACCTAAATAATACGCAGTCGATTAATAAAATAATTTGACCAACTTCGCCAAAATATCAATAACTGACAGGCCGCCGGCGACTTCGAGTAGCGGCGTCGAGTCGCTGGATTGCAGCTCCAAAGCAAACCGATCTATTAATGACGGCGCACATTTGGTGGCCTGTCTTTGCGTGGATTCGAAATCCGCTCCATAAGCTCCAGCAGGTTGCAAGCTAAGTGCAAACTTTGTTTATTTTTTTTGCTCGCAGCGCAGATTAGGTTTGTTTTGTGAAGTTTTGTCGTGTGGGGGTGAAAAAAAAAAAAGAATTCTGTTCAAAATTTAATTGCCAAGCCATTCTGTGGGCGTTCATCAACCGATAAGGCTGAAATAAAAAGACTTGGAAGGCCTACTCCAAATTTAAAAATTGAACAAACTGTAACTAGCAAAAAAAAGGACTTTCACCAGGACATTTATTCTGGACCTTCACGAAAAACATGCATGATTGTACAATTGAAATTGCAACCCCCACATTTTTAATATACAAGCCGCCACTGACGACAAGGATAAAACTTCTTGACGACAACGCCTACAGACCGGAGATTTGGATCTAGCAGGCCCTTCAAAAGTGATTCTGATGCAGTCCCAATTTTAAACGAAGTCACATTGTCATTTTTGCCCAATACCAAACATTTAACATCAGAAATAGAAAGCTGATTTTTCAAATAGTCAGAGATCTGTCTGGGGTAGTAGGTACTCGGATCACGTTGACCTAGGTATAGCCACTCCACTGACAATTATACAATTTTTCATATCCAGCACCGAAATGGACAACAGAATGGGGCTCCCCCACATAATATTGAAAATGTGATAAATTATTTGAATGATAAATATCCTAGACGGATAGGAAGATCTGGAAATATCGAACAGCCACCATCTTCTATAATGGATAGATTTTTTTCGGGGAACGATTAAGGCCAGTCTTTTTGACAACAATAATAGTTTTCCATTCAAGTCCTCGAGGAGATATTTGCAGACATCAAATAATGCCATTAAAAACCCGAATTTCGAAAAACAAGCACCACAATTATTAGGTAATCTAGGTGAGTTAATGTCTGTTAGTATTGATTTTTCATGCTGAACCATCTCCATTTGGGTCTAATATAGAGATATTATATAACAAAACAATAATTTATTTTATCTATCTATGTATCTGTTATTTTGATTTTCATAACATATAATTAATTGACAATAATTTACATGTTTGTAGTACATGTTTTCTGTTTATTTTGTACATTTACCAAATGAAAATTCTATATAAGTAAATATAATGAATTTGTTGCAAATGTAGTTATGTTAACTGGTTTGTTAATAAATTTTAGCCCAGAGGATGACACGCATCCGTATCGAAACGTTGGCATTTGATTAGTATGTGAATATAAAAGTCCAAAAAAGCTGCAATTTTGTTTCTTTTCAAGTGTGTGGACGTCAACTACCTTTCAATTATTATTTCCAGCTCTCTAAACTTCACTATGTGAGGAACAATAGTCCATCGTCTTCAGATGATGATAGTGAAAACCGACCTCCTCCAAATGTTTTCGACAATCTTATGAAAAAGTTGGTGGTGGTCAATGATGTTGGTGAAGTAAAACTATATAGTCCACCAAGTACGGGTTGTGCTGCATCTTCTAGTGCTACCACTCATCAGAATTCTAAAGCTATTGAAATAAAGAAAGAAGAAGGTAAGAAAACACAGGTCCTGCTTTTTTAAAAACTTATGTATTTATTCAAATATTTTAGATTTTTCAATACAGGAAACTAAAATTATTGGCAACAAATTATTTACACTTATTACCAAAGATTATTGCTATTTGTGTAACGTCGATACGTCTAAATATACTAGGCATTACAACAATCCTGGACACTTTATTAAAGTTGGAGAATGGATTGAAGCGGAATTAATCAAAGCTAAGGTAAAGAATGTTATTTAAATTTTAAAATATGTAATTTTTTTCCATACATAGGAACCAGTTGAGCAAAAATTAATATTTTGCCAGGTGTGTAATATTCCACTGTCCGGAAATGAAAAGGCTCTCGAACATTATTCAGGGCAGAAACACAAAAAGTAAGTATTTTCTAATTTGGTGAAATAAATTTATATTATTTAATGAGTATTCTTTACCCATTAGGATGAGAATTTTAAAAATATTGTCATTATTTGTTCGGAAAACAGAAGAGCTTTGTAACAATATATTTATTTTCTTGTAGAAGAGAAAAAAGTTTTTGTACGCTATGTCATCGTATGATCAATGCAGCAGGCATGAAAAGCCACGTGCAATCAAAGCAGCACTTGAAAAAAATTAATGCTCTTCGAAATGCTGTAAGGCCAACTTTACGAATAAAACTAGAAATTGCAAAAAAAAATCCTACAAAAGAGACTTTAGAAGTTGTAAATGAAAAAGACAATCATAAATCGTTGTTTGATTCTTATTCTAAAGTATTGGAAAAGCATATCGAAACCTCCTTAAATGAACAATCTGTATCTATTGTTGAAAATAAAGGTGAGAATAATTTGTGAATTAAGATAAGCTCTAGACATCATTGAATTAATTCAAATTCCTATCTTTGTTACACTTTAAGTTGAAAATCAATTTTGCTTTTATATATAGGTACTTTATTCTTAATACACAAGCAGTTCTGCTTTGGGTCCGCCGAAATACTAAAATTTAAATCTTTCAATATTTTTTTAGTTGAAACTTCCTCAACAACAAACCTTAATGATTTTGAATCAACAAAAACGGATGAAACAACTACAATTGAAGAAATCCCAAAAGTCCACAGGAATTTAGAAAATAATGACAAAATAACTGCTACAAATAATGCAACAACAAACCTCAATGACTTTGAATCAACAAAAACAAATGAAACAACTACATCTGAAGAAAACCCAAAAGTCGACAAGAATGATGACGAAGCAACTGCTACAAATAGCAGTGAAATACCAACAATATCTGAAAACGCAAAAATTATTGAAGAAATACAAACATCTGACCAAGAACCACCAGTTATGATGACAACTGACCAAACACCCAATAATATTGAATTAGGAACAAGTAATGTTTTAGAACCAATCATAGGTCCCCAAGAAACATTGAATAATCTTCAAATAAGCAAAATCAATAACAAATCCGTGGATGCGGAAAATGAGTTAAGAAATATTATTGAAACTGCTGATACTATTGATGACATGAAATTTTCTGCTGAAATTTCGAAATTCAAATCTATTATATCCAAAAGTCTTGATGCCAAGGCAAAAACCGATTTTTCAGTAATACAATTACGCATTTTTGCAATCCTTACACGAAATTTCAGTAAGTTTTTGACAAATTCTTTAACAGAAAATCATAATAATTTAACATTTCAAGATGTTTTTACATTATCCAAAAATGATTCATTTTCTTCAAATCTATTTTCATATTCTCTAATTTTTGACGTTTATGGTGTTGCGAAAATTACCCTTCAAGATGAATGCAATAGTTTGGAAACTCTTGCTAGAAACTATCAAGGAGCAAGTGACAAAATAATTTTAAAACATTTTTATGAATTCAATCAGAAATTATTAATCATTTTTGATGAATGTTTTTTAATCAATGATGTATTTAGACTTAGCGAGAATAATACAACAGATTTTGAAGCTATCATCAATCAATATTCTGCTATCAATAAAATACATTGCTTGTGGAGTTATGTGAGAAATTTTAAAATATTCCTGGAAGCAAAAACATTAAAGCATTTTGAAGGTATCTTCGAATGCAACATTGAATTTTTGGAAAACATTGATTACAAGAAAAATATTTGCAAAGAATTGAAAACAATTTGGGATTTTATAATTTTGGAAGATTCTTTCAATCATTTTGCCAGATTTAAATGGGTAGTGTTAGTTATTTTGAAAGGACATCTATGGAATATGAATAGAATTCATAACAATAATGAATTAGAAATTCTCAGAGATATTTTAAATAAAATTTTACATAAGCCTAATACATTGGGACGATTAATAATTAAGTACCTTAAAAATTTAAAATTGGCAATTTTAAACCGCTATCAACTATGCGGCGGATTTGAGCAACATGATATTTTTATTGTTGAACCTTCTCTTGAAAAACATTTAGTTTGCAATTTATTTACATTGGCCAATGAATGGGATATTTATCAGTTGATTGTTTATAAAGAATTTGACGATTTGTGTGATGTTTTGAGCAAAGAAAATGATAATTTTTCGACTGGTTTTCTGTTAAAATTTAATGAAGAACTCAAGAAAATTTTTGAGGAATTTGATTTTGTAGATGCAATGGATTGTTCTTGTGCTGGACTATATTGTATGTGATTTTGAGTTTCATTTTTTAAACCAGAAATATGTTTTGTTTTTTTTTTTAATTTGTTCAATATACTGAGTTTCGTTTCATTTGCAGATTTGTTATTTTTCTTCTTAGTATCACAGTTTAAACCGATGTTTTTTCACCAACATGTAGGTACGTAATGATGAAGGAAATCTCACAAGTAGGTACCTATAGACCATTCAGAAGCAGAATTTTGTTTGCTGTTGCATGTCCTTAATTTTTTGGAAAAATTCAAACGGGCCTCAGTTTATGAAAATTTCCATTTATCATTTCCCATATCTACCTTCAAATTTTTAATGTTTCCAGCCGTATGAATAAAAATGGAGCATTTGCTTATGCAAAAGGTAGAAGTTTAAGTAAAAGCTTCGAGTTAAAGGTAGAAGTTAGGCTTTAATAAACAAGAATTAAACATGACATTCAAAAAATAGAAACAATATTGATAGAGGAATTAAGTAGGTACTTATTAAAAATTATTGATGATGGCTATTTTCATACCGAAACGTCGGGAAACACGCCTGAGCTAAAGGTCATTTTAAAGGGAGAGAAAAATTATTTCAAAATAAAAAATAAAAAATCCAGGTCCGTATTTAAAAAAATGAAGTTGGAACTGTTATCGATATCCCAAAAACTGAAAGCCGTGTAGAGATAACTATTACGCCATTTTGTAGAGAAGAAGATATCCTGAGACTTTTGTATTGAACACTTTTTTCTAAAGATGATAATTTCAATTTCTGAAATATTCATTGAATAACTTTTGAGCATTTTTCACATTTTTCCTCATATCTCGGAAACGAACAAAAAATTGGCAACCCTGTAAACTTACCTTTAATCGATATTAAAATCTCCAACATTTGTCTAATTGAATTAATAGTATGGTTTTATTATTGAAAATAAAGTTTATAATAATTCAATTTCATTCCTAAATACGAATTATATATTTCAATTACCAAAACACGACCTAGAAAAAACGGACGAAACGGTTTCCGAAAAAGCGAATTATTCTCGACTGGGAGCGTGGCGTCTCCTGTAATCCAGCTACTTGGAAGTCGGGTTCAGCGGATGGTTTGAGGTCGGGAGTCCTGGTGCAGGGCGTTTCGCGTCGACCGGGCGTCCACACTAAGCACGGCGTCAATATGGGTACCCCGGGGGAGCTCGGGGTAGCCAGGTTGGCCAAGGAGGGGCGAACCGGGCCAGGGGGGAAACCCAGCAGCCAAAAGTCCCCGCGTCGTGCAGTAGTGGGATCGCGCCTGGGAGCGGGAACCCTGTACCAGCCCAATCAATATAGCTAGACCTGGACCTTTTTTGGTCAATTTTTTCACGATTTTATTTTTTTTTGAAACTTAAAACAATAGTCCTAAACTTCTGAAAAATCTTAATGGGTTTTAATTAATTTTCACTCATTTAAACTAGTTTTTTCAACAAACTATAAGATGTCGTTGGCGTCGATTCGAACTTGTGAAATTCCATCGTGATAGTTCGATTATGTCCGTGGTACCACTTTGGAGTGTTAGATGGCGCCATATGTTTAATTTACTTACAGTGACTCGATAAGCCTTTGTAAAAATTTATCGAGTCACTATTAAAGGACATGGCACGGATTAAATGGAAACTAAAGGCCAGTCGTTTTTTTTTAAATTTTAATATGTTGTAGAGTGAGAGAAAAGAAACAAAAGTTACCATGGGCCCATTGTGCCCCGACCAATAGGAGACCCACTAAATAAGTTAAAAGAACATTTTAAAAACATATAAGTAAAACATAAAAACACACCATCTACACTTTATTCATACTACTATAACTATGCCTTAGAATTCTATTATGTTATGGATACATCCTTTTCGCGAAAAAAAGACAATTGAAAATCGCGAATTTGTCTGGGGATGGGGGCAGGATCAGGGAAGTGATAGGTACCTGTCGATATAATTTTTTGAAAGATATTTTCTATCTCTTTAGGGGGCCCTTCCTTCTTCTTGCGCGGGGGGAGGGGGGAGGCGTTAAAACACAGCATATACAAAAACAATCAGCAGGCTAACTCTCACGCGCATATTTTCTGCGCACGCCGCCATTTTTGTTTATATCTGACGGAGGTCATAGGCGTGCGGGGTAGAGCGGAATTTTAGTTATGATTTTTCAAAGTCATTTTAGTATATTCGTGTTGTCATTTATGGTGTAATCAGTTACCATTCTTGTATATTGAAAAATATTAATAAATTAGTAAGGATAAATGTTATTATATGTAAGTAATATTAAATTAGTTTATTTAAAGCCAACACGACTCTGTGACCCGAAAGAAAAAATCTAAATTATTGTTAATCAGGTCCTGTCTCGTATCCCAAAATGGCCGCTAGTGACATCCCGACAATGAATTCCTTTATTACACGGGATGTCACTCAAGTTAGCCTGCTGATTGTTTTTGTATATGCTGTGGTTAAAATCTTGGGTATTTTTACCAAACCAACTTTTTAGCTAAAAAGACAACAATATAAAACATGAAAACCTTAGTAATTTGCCTTTTTCGGTCATTTCCAAGCTTTCTTTAAACTCATTTAGTGGGTCTCCTTTTGGTCGGGGCACAATGGGCCCATGGTAACTTTTGTTTCTTTTGCCTCACTCTACAACATATTAAAATTTTAAAGAAATCGACTGGCCTTTCTTTTCCATATAATCCGTGCCATGTCCTTTACACAGTAAATTTATAAAATTTACAGTGAAATTTCTCATTAATTAGAGAATAAGGCTATTTTTCGCGACATAATTTTTCCAAAGATTATGTTCGATTATGCTGGGTAATCCTCAAATTCAGGGCCGCAACTAGAACCCTCGGCGCCCAAGGCAAGTCCAAATTTTGGCGCCCCTCCGCCGCGTTCTCAAAAAGGACCGCTAGAACTGGTTCAGAAACGGTTCCGAACCGACTCTGGTTGATCCCCGAATCCAGAACCGTAACTAAAAGTTCGGAATTTTGGGATCCGCGAAATAGTTTGGAACTAGTTCAGAATCCTTCCGCGAACGAAGCTATTGTAATAGTAAAAGCTATTTACGGAAACTATGATCGGGTTAACCTGATCGCTAGCAGATGTATTTTGTCTCTTTTCAATCCCATTTCCGACTGATTATTCTAATGATGATTGGACCCCATGACTGTGCTTACTCCTTTTATTTTCTAGCCCACGAGTACATTCTTTGGTGATGTCATGTAAGAGCTTTAATTTTTCAACGTTTTCGGTGGAGAGGTTTATGAGGTCTAATAACTTGTCTATCAGTTTCGAGACTAATAGTCGTTTGTTTTCATATCTATTCTGAAGCAAGTCCCATGCTGTCTCGTAATAATTTTCAGTGGTTGTCAGATGCTGAATGAGTCTTGCAGCTTCTCCTTGAACATGTGTTTTGAGTAGTTGTATCTGCCTTGGAAAAATGTATGTTGTCGTGGACTACTCGCAAAAAAAACATCATGGAAAGAGCCCCAGTTCTCGTAGCCTCCGTGAAATGTTGGAATGGTTATTTGTGGTGACGCAAGATGTTTTACAGGCCAGATTGATTGGGTCTGTGGTAATTGCGGCTGACATGATGCTTGTGCCTCGTTCGTTTCCGTTAATAATTTTTCCAACGTGTCTTCATAAGGTTCATACTTCATCTGATACTCATGAAACTTATCATCTCTGAAGTAGGCACTGGTGAATGATTATTCATGAATTATTATGTCTTCGTGCAATTCTTGAATGGTTGTTTTACCAGCTTTTTCTGTTGTAATTCATACCTTATTCTTGATTTTGATTCAGTTAGATCTTGGTTGATTTGGTCGATTGTTCTATCCAATTCCTCACACTTAAGATTTTGTTCCTTCAAAAGTAAGACTTGTGGACTATTTTGTAATTCATCATTGATCGTTTCAAGGTACTTCTAGCAAGTCTCATACCTCTCTTTTATTTGTCGCAGGTGTTTTTTCAGTAAAGTAGTCGTGGTTTAGTTCATGATCATTTTCTTTAACTGCATCCCATAGTTCTTTCTAGCGTTCCAAGTTTTTGTTCTACATACTGTTCAGTTTTCTTTTCTTTTTGCTTAGTTTTTCTTACTGAGCAGCACCTAAGATCATTTCTTCCGGCATTGTTCTGTTGATCTTGCAATGGGCTTAGTTGGACCTCTGGAACCGCTATTGGTGGGAGCTCTGGGAATGTGATTGACCGCTGTTGGGCCTGGTTGAACTTCTGGAACCGCTGTTGGTGGGACCTCTGGGAGTCGGTTGATACCTGCTTGGTTTGGTTGGAACTCTGGGACCACTCTTGGTGGGACCTCTGGTAATCTGGTTGATGGTTACTTGGTTTTGTTGGACCTCTGGGACCGCTGTTGGTGGGACCTCTGAGACTCTGGTTGATGGACCTCTGGATCACTACTGGTAGGACTCTGGTTGATGGCTGCTTAGTCTGGTAAGTTACCTATCTTACGGCATAGTGCAAGTGCCGTGACTTAAGTCCTGATGTCTGGTACTAAGGCCCTTCTGCTCTTTCATCCTAAACCATCAGGATTAAGCAGAAGAGGGGGGATTTGTTACACACAGGCCTTATGAGGATAGGCCATCCTGTAGTATTAGTATGTTTCATCCTTGATTTGCTGCAGCCTCTTGCACACGTACTATGTTTGACATAATTTACATGATTACGATCGATATTCGTATGGTTGATAAAGAGAGATATAACACAAGCAAAATAAATTTTCGTGTTACGACAAATGACGCGTAAAACCGTTGCATTTTTTTGGATTGTAAAATATGGATGGATTAAATTAGGCGCCTTCGGCGCCCCGATACTCCGGCGCCCTAGGCGGGCGCCTAGTTCGCCACCCCCTAGTTGCGGCCCTGCTCAAATTACTCAACATAATCGAACATAACCTTTGGAAAAATTACGCAAAGCTGCGTAATTTGATGCTTAACAGAATGCCGCTTTGATATCTAGGATATTCCAAATACTTCCGGAGATATCCGGAAAAAACCGAAATTTTGCAAAATTGTTTTTATTTATTCCTGAGTTTATTTGAAGTGAAATTAAAAAAAATAATAATAATCACTTCATCATAGCCACTTTTTCTCCCCTACAAGACACTACCATCGTACCATCAAATTCAAAATCTGACGTGTCGTCTTTGGACCACCATTATCAACTTTATTTTTTTAAATACGACCCTGGATTTTTTATTTCAGATTTTTAGACCTTTTGATGTCCCAAAACCTATGACGTATCGCATTTATTATTCGAAAATAGATATTTATTTTCAAACGTCATATAACAGTAATTTTTGTGATCATTTTGACAAGGTATAAGTGTCACTTCAATCACAGAACATATCACTTCAATCACAGAACATATCACCTCTAGAAAAGTATCTGCAATGTACCGGTTATGAATTACAGCGCCATCATTGACTGAAAACCCAACTAATCGAGCATTCTTGACAAAAAGGCGAATTGATTTTTTTCATATATTTTTATTATTTTTAAATAATTTTTAATGTTCAACTGCATTTGGCTTACTGACTCCTTTTAGCTCTTTTCGCCTCATTTTTTTGAAAACTATGACTGGCAGGAAGGTTTCGATGTCGAACATAGTGCAAAAAGAGTTAGTAAGTTAGCAAGAGATACGCAGCTATAGGTAGATCGCAAAGTAAATACGAATAATAAAAACAAATACGAACGAAACGAAACAAACGAGTAAATACAAAAAAATATGAATAAAAATTAGGGTTTTTTTCAACCAAAACTTTTTGAATTTTCACTTTAACGCGCGTGGGGACTATGGTTTACAACAACACAATTTAAAAATTCAAATTTTGACTTTTAAAATGACAAAAAATGACAAAACCAACAAACACAAATCACTGTCCACACCACAGATACCTGTAAACTTCTCTTATCTCCCGACAGTGTCGCCATGAATATCTAACTAAAAACCTTCGTCGCGATTCTCCCATTTGAGATATTTTTCTATAGGTGATATGTTCTGTGACTTCAATGACTTTCAGCTTGAGCGGCGTATAAGTGTGATACTACGCCGCAGAATAACATTTATACGTTGCTACACATGTTTTTCCATAGCAATTTGAGGTATAGTGAAATTATTTAAATAGTGTATGCACGTGATCAATGACGTCGAAATTATTGCCAATTGCAGTTTGTAAGAAATTAAAATTCGTTTCAAGCTGAGAGCTCATTCTCCTTTTTATTTAACCTTAGTTAAAAAAAGACAGGAACACTGATGGCATTTAACCGAATCGGCCGATAAAATGACATTTAGGTTGGCACTCATGGGTTATGTTGCCAAATATTGCTGCCAATCTGCGGTTACTGATTTTAATAATTTGAAATTATTTCTATTTGTGTATCTATAAAATGCCAAAGTCATTGAATAGTCAGAGTCAGAAACTCGTTGCGTCTCTAATTAGTTTCTTTGAACAGGAACGAGATGGGGGCCCCCTTTTGCCATTAAATAGCGTTAAAGAGGTGAAGTATATTGATTGATACTATCAAATATATATCTTCTGGGGCTTTAATTGGGAATATTTTTCCAGCGTTTTGCTGCTGCACTGAATATTTGTATAACCACTGTGAGTAAAATCCAATGTAAAATCTCTCAAAAAGTTAGGGATAATTTAGCGTTAAATTCACCAAAAAAAAAAACGTCCACATAAGAAGCGGGTTACGAATCAAGATCACCTGGATGTTAGCTCTATTCGCAATCAAATTTACGACGAAAAGTGAGTAGGTAGTTTTTTTAGATTGTGTTCATAATACACTATATATGCATATAAAAATCGATGTTTATTTGCTTTAGTGATTACAAATTTTACTAAAATCTGTTTTTTTTTTAAAGATAAAAGTAAAACTGACATTATGTTGGCAATACAATGTAAAATTGTCAATGCTTTCAAATTTTTTATGTAGAAAAGGCTTGTGTTGCCAACATAGTTACTAAATTTTTGACTTGGGGAATTATCTTTAAAAAAAAAACAGACTTTAGACATGGTAATGTCAAAGTAAAACGAAGGTTAATAGCGGCAACATTGCGACGTGCTTATGTCATTAATTTTGATCACGTGCATACACTGTTTAATTAATTTCACTACAGTGACTCTATAACCCACAGTGGCAGTGGCGACAATTGCTGTCTTATTTTTGATTGGTTCAAAAATCCCATATATTTATATTGAAAACACCACCATCTTGTTCCCAACCCCTTGTTACTTTTAAATATGAATATATGGGATTTAGGTGAACATCCATCAAAATCATTGAAAACAACGTATTTGATGGACCTAATAATGGTCATCAAATACGTCGATTTCAATTTTTTATGATAGATGTCCATTTAAATCCTATATAGGTATTAATATTTAAAAGTAACAAGAGGTTGGGAACAAGATGGCGGCGGGATCTTTATTGTCGCCACTGTATGTAAAGGTTTATTTAGCCACTGTAAATTTCACCATAGTTCACCTATACATACAGGTATAGGTGCTTATAAAGGTGATCCTTCTAAATATGAATGACATAATTTAAATTAAAAATTCTGCACAATTCGGTATGAAGATTGTTTGAAAATAAAATATTGTATTTCATTCGGAGTATAAATATTCTTCATGCGACTTGCAAGATTTTGATTCGCCTTCGCCTTCGCGGACCGGTGCGCATGCACGGAGGCCATCTGGGTCCTCATTTTTGAAACGGGGGAGCGGCGTTCCCGAGAGAACGAGTGTTCCGTCATTCTCAATGATATGGAAATGGTAATTTAAGTAACAAAGACGGAACACTCGTTCGCCTGGGAGCGCTGCTCCCCTGTTTCAAGAATAAGGACCCTGATAGGTTGTAATGAAAATGACCAGTTTGTCATTTACTGCCGCTTGGATTTGGTTCGACCATAGGTATGCAGCAGGCATTAACAACGGATCATAGTGAAATGAAAAAACGAAAAAATAAAATTACAGCCGTAAACATGTGGGTGGCCCCGATTATACAGAGTACATTTGGTGTACTCAGGTGGTCTAAAACTGAGTTAGAAGAATTAGACAGTAAAATAAGGACATCTATGACCAAGTACCGCATGCACCACCCACATGCATCTAGCTCAAGGTTGTACTTACCCAAAAATAACGGTGGAAGAGGACTCGTTAACTTCACAACCTCTCACAAAGCCCAGATAAACAAACTTCGGAAATTCTTCGATCAAACTGAGTACCCTCTACATAAAGCCATTAGGGATGCTGACAAGAATCTCTCTCCTTTAGGCCTTGCTACCCCACGCGTCCCTGAAACAATAAGGCTAGAAAATGAGGTAATACATGAGTGGAAGTCGAAAGTGCTACACGGGCGATACCCTATTAATCTATTCGGACCTGAAGCTGACACTCACCTCTCCATTCAGTACCTGCAGGAAGGCTGCCTTAGAGCAGAGACAGAAGGATTTATCACAGCAATACAATATCAGGTAATACCTACCAAAAATTACCTGAAATTTATAGCTAAACAACAAATTGAAAACGACAAATGTCGACTCTGCCATACATCTGCTGAAACAATCTAGCATATTTCCTCAGCATGCACTTACCTTGCCCCAAGGCAGTATCTCCAAAGACATAATAAAGTTGCTGGCATACTCCATCAAGCAATCTGTAAGAAAATGCTAATTTTACAAGAAGAAAGAAGCCATACTACATAATAATAATAATAATAAGCCTTTATTTCCAACAGGAATAAACCCAATTACAGGAAAAAACACATACAATTTAAAGAAAAACTATATAGAAAATCGTGCACCACAGCACACTAAATTATAGATAAATAACAAAAACTGAGCAAAAAATAATAATAATAATAATAATAATAATAATAATAATAATAATAAATGTAACAAACAAAAGAAAAACAAAAACATTTTTTTTCACCAATGCAAGAAACCTAAAGCTAATAATCAATCAATGGAAAGAGCACCAACAATCCGCGACAGCCTTTCATGATTAATATCACATTCGCCCGACACAGTATTGTAAACAGCGCACATTAGATACACTGGGCTCTGTGATAAGACGTTAGATCTAGCTGTGCACAGATGAAATGTCCGACTATATCTGCCCCCAATGCGTGGAACACGAAACAACACCTGAGCGACTAGGTATGGGCAGTCTATAATATGATGCAAGAGATTATATAAAAACCTCACTGCCTGAACCTTTCTTCGGTCGGCCAAAGATTGAACGCTGAATCGCTCAAGTAGCTGATGATGATCCACGCCCCTTGGGGGGTAAACACCATCTACCTTAACTGCCAAATATTTAAGAAATAGTCTCTGGGCAGTTTCAATAGATTTAACATGACAATCATATATAGGACTCCACACAATTGCACCATACTCAAGAATACAAAAGTTTAAAGGTGAATAGATTTGAAAAATGTCTGCTGTTTCTGAAAACAAAGCCAAGCGTCTTGAGGGCTGATGCACTTGTTGCGTCAACATGAGGTACAAAAGTTAAACGGCTATCGAATATCACTCCTAAATCCTTGATTTGATTGAGCCGAGCCAATATAGTACCTTCAATGGTATAGTCAAATAAAACAGGAATTTTTTTTCTGTGGAAACTGATAATATTGCACTTCTCAACATTCAAAAGAAGCCTGTTTTCCTTGCACCAATTATTCAAAATATCCAGGCACGACTGTAACGTAATACAATCCTGGGTAGTAGTAACTGTGGCGAAAAGCTTAAGGTCATCGGCATATGCAAGCTTCGAACAAGGCAGTGTCTCAATAAGATCGTTTACAAAGATGTTAAAGAGGAAAGGGCCCAAGTTAGACCCTTGCGGGTTACCAGATGAGGAATTGAATAGGAATGATCTGAAGCCCTCACACTGTACAAACTGACTTCTATCCAACAGGTAAGACTTAAGCAAATTCACCAGCCTATCCGAAAAGCCCAAGGCGTGCAACTTATTGGTCAAAATATAGTGATCAATACGATCAAAGGCCTTACGAAAATCGGTGTATACTACGTCGACTTGGCCGACACTGTCCAAAGTAGTGCACAAATTATGGGATAAACAGGACAAGTTGGACATGCATGACCGGCCACTCATAAAGCCATGTTGCTCCTCAGACAGCAAGCCCCTAACCAATGGATAAAGTTTATTGTGTATAACTATTTCGAAAATCTTAGAGAAATTACAGAGTAATGATATAGGTCTATAGTTAGTTATTAATGAGCGATCCCAGTGTACGAAGGGTTATGTATCTTATAGGGTTAGCGTACATGTAAGGTTATATTTGGGAAAATATATATCTATATTTTTATATAACCTGAGCGAGTTTCTCTCCATCAACCCCCAAAGCTACAAACCCCCCATGTCACCCCCGTAAAGCGGGCAGTTGTGACAATATATAAAACAAATATGAAAATAATGAAGGATTCGATAACCGTTCCACAGCAGACAAAGTCTATAAGTGGTACACTTGCCTCCAAACCCGGCAGTAAGACCAGGCGTGATTTGAAGCAAGTATGGAGATGCCAAGAAGCACTCCTCCTCCCCTAGTGGAGTCCACACGGTCGAACTTGCGGTCACTGCGATATACATCATAAAATTCTGGGATAATTTCGGAATTTCCAATGTCGGGCATTAACCATGTCTCCGCAACAGCGATAATGTCCATTCCAGACGCCGCCACAGTTGTTTGGAAGTCCAGGATTTTTGTGTTTAAGCCGCGAACGTTTTGATAGCAGCAGTGTATAGTTGAAGAAATGGGATTACCCCCGTTGGATGCATCTAGTTTTCCGATATTGCGTTGTTAATTTTCACTATCGTGGGAATGCCCCTGATGTGGTTAATTCTTAAGTCTACCTCACCAGCGCTGCATCAACTGTTCCTTAACACTCTTGTAAAACTGCATCTGTTTCGGGGTTTTGTCTGAGGCAACTGTAAGATGCTTAAGCCGTGGGTTATTCCTAATTTTGTAGCACTGCTTCAACACACCAACGACAGTGCCACTATCTTTGCAGCATATTTTCAAAGGACGTGGACGGCTGGCAGAGTTTTGAGCACGGCCGAGACGCGATACGTGCAAAATATTTGATAAGTCAAATGCTGGACACACACTTTGTAGGATACTACCAGCAGATTCCATACCGTCCTCCTTCTCCGACGTGGGTTCAGGGTGACCAAAAACGATAATATTATTCTTACGTTGCTCTCTGTCATAGTACTCCTGATAAAACTCTTCACTTTGATCGGTCCCAGAGAGGCCATTTCGCTTCTTCAGCTCATTCTCTACAGCAAGCATTCGAGAATTTACATTGTCGATCTCTCTCTGAAGTTTATTATTTACTTCAAGCTGTTCATTGTATATTCTGGCCAATTCCCTACTTTCCAGTTCCATCCTATCGAGCTTATTCATAATATCCAGTAATGTAAGGTCGCCTGGGTTGCGCTCTGGCTGCACGGACGATGGCACAGGAGAGAGCGATTTGCGATTAGCTTGAGATTTTTGTACCTCCGCTCTTAGGCACGAAGGACAATTCCAGCGATCACCTCGGGATTTCTTCAATGACTTCTTCAATTCCATTTCAAAATTTTTAAGCTGAGCTACAGACAAATCAACGCATTTAATATGGTTCCATTGATCGCAGGAAAACCATAAGATTGAGTAATGCTTTCTTGTTATAGCTAGGCTACAAGCGGCGCAATTTCCAGTTTGGGACATATTTAAGATATATGGGAGCCTTAATACGTTTCAAATAAAATTATAAAGCCTTGTTGGCCAACAAAAAAGAGAAAAAGAAAACAAACAAGTCTGCAGCCCGGTATTTGCGATAAACGTAAACAATCTCTTTTTTTGTGTGTTATTTGTGCATACCGAGGCAGTGGGATACCCGAAAACGGATTCCGCTTGAGTTTGATACTATTTTTGCTTTGTTATCTGATGGACGAGAAAAACAAAAAAAAAAAAAAAACAATCAAGATTAATAGTTTTTAGTCACTATAAGCAGCACAAAAAAAAGTTGTAGGCACTTAAAAAACTCGGAACCACACTCACAAATCTTCCCAAAATTAAACAGTGGTGCGATGCTAACTTGCTGACTTGCTGACTGATTAATATTACTACATGTACTTACCTGAGAAAATCCATGAAAATGATGAATGCAGGATCTACTTGGATACGGACATCATCACGGACGGACCTGTAGAGCATAACAGGTCTGATTATACTTGTCATTCACAAAAAGGAAAAGGAAGCACACATCATCGACATACTCTACCAATCTTAGAAAAAAGTTATGACTTTTCAAAGTTTTCCAAAATCTAAATCATAAGGTCCTTCTTACTAAAACGCTGAAATTTCAAAAAAAATTTGTTGAGATTTTGTATCCTAATAGTCCTTTGAGATCCCCCAACTCCATACACCAAATTATTCTAAAATTTGGAGCCAGATTCTAATGAAAAAAGGCATTCAAAAAACTTGAAAAATTGATAAATCACCCCAAATTGTTTAACACGATTTTATCTCAGGAGCTGTAAGTCCAAATGAGCTGAAATTTTCAGGGCTAGTAGTCCTCCACTGGGATAAGAATCGCTGGAAATTACCGCTTTCTATCTTTAATAGATAAAAATATGATTTTTCAAAGCTTGGAAAGCTTTCAAAGCTTTCCAAAATCTAAATCATAAGGTAGCTTACCTTCTTACCTCGCTTCTTACTAATACGATAAAATTTCAAATTTTTTTGTTGGTGAGATTTTATGTCCTAATGGTCATTTGGGATCCCCCAAACTCCTTACACTAAATTATTCTCAGATTTTCAGGAATTGTAGTCCTCTACTGGGGTAAGAATCGCTGAAAATTTCAGCTTTCTATCTGTAATGAAAAAAAGTTATGACCTTTCAAAGTTTTTCAAAATTTTAATCATAAACCTTCTTACTGTTGAAATTAAAAAAAAAAATTGTGGAGATTTTGTATCGAAATGGCCTTTGGGATCCCCCAAACTCCATACACTAAATTATTCTCAGATTTGGAACCACATTATATGAAAAATGGCATTCAGAAAAATTGTTAAATCACCTCAAATTGCTTAACACGATTTTATCTCAGGAACTATGGGTTCAAATGAGCTGAAATTTTCAGGAATTTTGTAGTCCTCTACTGGGATAAAAATCGCTGAAAATTTCAGCTTTCTATCTATAATAGAAAAAAAGGGAAAATTCATTGATCATGAATTTATTGATATGTGGAGTGATCTTATTCAGCAACCAATAATTGGAACACCTTTGCAATCAGCAAAATCTCACTTATCGCTCTGTAGTTCTCAAAATTAGCTCCAGTTGGCGTAACGTATGGTTTTTCAACGTTTGGAAAATCTCCTGATTCTGGAATCTTTTAGGTACAAACAGAGATACCAGGACCGGGGATCTTATCAGGATCCATTCTCAAATTAGAACCCATTTATTCTTATCAAAAACATCCATAGTAAAAAATATTATAGAACTTATATCCACATTTTTTTCACAATCAAAATCTAAAATCAAATAAATCATTAAGGTTAGTAACCATACAACATTTACCTACCTAGTGGTAGATTTTGAAAATCCTGGGATTTCATATTCACCCCTTTTATGACAACAACAAAAAAAAAAACAAATAGATCACAACTAATAATTCTCAAAGCGACTATTTCTCGATTTTGTGTTCAAAGTTGCAATTAATATAAGGAGGGAACAAATAATGGAAAGTAAAAACATAAATATGATTGAAAATTATAATCAATATAATCACAAAATATTCTACTGTTGGGTTCTATAATCAATATCACTGGAATATTGAGTGTACACACTGAGCTTCATTGTGTTATACAATCGAGATAATTGGTGGAAATAATTCGGAAAATCGGATATGAGGTTTTGCAAGATGCTGCAAAGCTTAGTATTTAACTCTCTATGCTTTTCAAATTCAGTTGGTAAATCTTCTTTTTTAGTATATACGAATGGTTTTCTATTAGCAGCCAAGTCATTGTACAAATTCAATTTTCTTTGCATCATTATCAGTATTTCAAATTTCAATTGTCTTTTCGTTTTGGATTTTTCAATTTCATCCCTCAAAATTGTTTCATAGTTTTCATTGAAAGTTATCTCGTTTTTGGTCTTCTCCATCCTATGGACAATAAGTCGTTTTTGGGCTTTAACTAAAACATTTCTTTCCTTGAGCTCTTCAATTTCTTTTTCAAGTTGTTGTATTTGTTTTTTGGTACTTTCAATTTTTCTAGTGTTATTAATTCGTATTCTTTGTTCTGACGCTTTAGATCTGGTCTGCCTTGCGTCTGCTACTGTGACAATGTTGTCTCGCCTCGAAACGCTGTGTTCTAACTCTTTAACCATTTTCTGTTGAGCTTTTTGTAGTTGACCGTAAATGACTTTCCTTCTGTGTATTTCTTGTTTGGCAAGATCATTTTCGGTAGATTCTCCGTGTGCCCCTCGCATTTCTACTTTAGTATCGTGAACTAATTTCACTTTTTTCTCCCATTCTAAACCTTGTCTGTGCAATTCTATTAACTCTTTGCTTTGAGCAATTTTTTCTTCTTCTGAAACTTGGATACTCTCTTCAAGTTGAAGGTATTTTAATTCGGCATCTTTTAATTTAATATCAAACTCTGACTGTGAATAACTTATTGCTTCGTCCATTGTTGCTTTTCTGCCTTTGGTTTTATTCAAATGATCGCATAAAACGTTCATTTTCGAATGTAAATTGTTAATGTTAAGCGAAATTTTCTTTTCTATTCTGCCGTAGTTTTCAATTTCACTAGTTACCTTTAGATTTTTTTGTTCCAATATTAATTTTTGCTTCTTCAAAAGATTGAGTTTTTGTGTTTGTTCGTGTCGTTCTTTGGAAATATTCAGTACATTTTTTTCTTCTCTAAGCCAGAATATTTGTAAGTTTGTTATTTCGAGAAGGGTGTCTTCGATTTGCTTTTCCAGGACGCTGAGGCGCAGTTCTTGAGGAGATATAACAATTTTTAGTTGCATTTTTTCTAATATTTGTTCAAGTTTTCTGTTGAGCACGGTAACGTGGCGTTCTTTTTTCCTAAATATTAATTGATTAGTGACCTTTTCAGCTTCAATAGCATCAGCTTCATTTTCCAATTCGGTTTTGTGTCTCGAAATTTCGACCAAGGTCCTTTCTCTTTCTTCATTATTATATTTTTCAGATTCTATTTCGCAAAGCGATTTGCTTTGTTTGTTTTCCGTTTCGGCCATTATAATTTCGAGATCTTTCGATTTCTCTCTCAGCAAACCAACTTGTGCACATAATCTTTTGCAAAATCTATCCTCCGCGTTTTGACTGTTCAAATTATCAGAAAATTGCTTGTCTAATTTCAGTACTGTTTCAGTGATGTTTTCAGCGGCTTTATTCAGTTGGTCTGCTTCTATTCCTTTCTGGCGAATTTCCTCATTTAAATCCCTACAGTCGGATTCTGTTTGGTCCGCTATTGCTTCAACTTCTGACATTGTTACAGCAAGCTCTCTTTGTTTATTCAATTCTTCATCTAATAATTGTTTGCAGTTAACTATATCCGCAAGAGCTCTTGCTTTGTTCATCACAAGACGTTGATTTATGTTCATTTCGTTTTTCGTTAGTTTTTTAACGTTATTAATTTCGGCTTTTATAGATTCTATTTTTCCACTAACGGTTGCGTTCTATAAAAATTTTAGTTATATAGATGTAATACAACAAATAAACAACTTACGGTAGTTCTTAGGGATTGAACAATTTTATCTTTTTGTTCTATATCGACCATCACTGATTTCCAGGCATGTATATAAGAACGACATTGTACCTGGGTCTCTTCCAGTTTGGCGTTACCCCATACAACTGTTTTGTCCAGTTCTTCCATATCAGTTTCTGAAAAAAATTATACAATTTTTTTAGAGAGAATTTGGAAGTTCAAAACCCAGGACTCCACTGGCGGTATGCAATTTTTATTTGCGAAAGAGTGAAGAAAAAGTAGGTAAGAAACAATAAATGGCAGAAATCAATAAAATTCATGGAAAAACTGACTTTAGTTTTTCTTGCATTTGTCACCTTATTGAGAACCCACAGCTAAACGATTTTAAGAAAATCCGTTCAAATTGATAAAATCAGGGGTATTTCGCATTGTCGGGAAGTAGGTGAAAATTCTCGATTTTTCTGTCTTAATTTTTGTCTATTCCCATCTCTTGAGTTTCCGTTTTTTTTTTTTAATTTCTCGAAATGGAGAAATTTCAAAAGTTTGAATTAGAAATAAAATATTTTGTGTCAACTTGTCTACCAATTTCTCCTTAATTTTTACCCGAATTTTTTCTCTATATTTCTCAACTTTTCCAGTTCAATTTTTATTTATTATCGGCTCTTCAAATTGTCGAAATAAAGAAAGTTCATCAAGAGCCTGGAATATTAATTTCTATTTATCTATAAATTTTTTCTTAATTTTTTTCATATTTCTTCTCTTTTTTTCTCAATTTTTCTGTCTCAATTTTTGTCCATTCTATTCTTATCTCTTGAGTTTCCGTTTCCTTGTAAATTTCTCTAAATAGAGAAAATTCAAGAGTTTGGATTAGAGATGAAATAAGTCTATGGATGAAATAGTTTGTTTCTACTTGTCTACCAGTTTTCTCTCAATTTCAGCTCTCCATTTTTGAATTTTTTTTTACATATGTAAAGTTCAACTACGTTCTTAATTATACATTATGATTATGACATGTTTAGTATAAGTTCGAAGTTAGTTTACAAGCTGCTTTGTTAAAAAAAAATTTAGTATGATAATAAAGCATAGTTTGATTTGAATTTTTGCTTAATATTTCTTATATTTTTCCTCCTTATCAATTTTTATCTATTTCCTTTCCATCTCTTGAGTTTTCTTTATCTTGTAAATTTCTTTAAATAGAGAAAATTCAAGAGCTTGGACTAGAAATAAGATACTTTGTGTCTACATGTCTACCAATTTCTTCTCAATTTCACCCGAATTTCTTTTCTAAATTTCTTAATTTTTCTAGTTTGATTTATATCTATTCCTGACTCTTGAAATTGTCAAAATAAAGAAAATTCAAGAGCTTGGAGAAATAATAGCTATTTATATAACAAGTACATAAAGTAAGGCTTTATTGTACGAATAATTTTATGGCCGAGCGAGCTTGCGAGCGAAGCTATTAAATAATGAGTCAATAAAGCCTGTTTATGTAATACATGATTTTATGTACGATTACGACTGGTTTTTGTTGAAAATTGAAAAAATTTAATGAAAAAAGTGAAATTCGCATAGGTATACCTGTTTCACCTTGGCAGGTTGTCAGGACCTGTTTAACCTTGGCAGGTCGTCAGGACCTGTTTCACCTTGTCAGGCAGTCCAGGTAGGCAATAAAGTAGCACTTTATTTTACTAGTAAAATAAAGTAGCATTTTATTTTACTAGTACAATAAAGTGCTACTTTATTGACGCAAAACTGTTCTATAAATAGCACTTTATTGGTCAATCGGACATAAAATATTTAGCGTCTACTTGTCCACCAATTTCTTCTCAATTGCTCCCAAATTTCTTTTCTTTATATCTCAATTTTTATCAATTCCTGGCTCTTCTCTTGAAATTGTCGAAATAAGGAAAATTCAAAAGCCTTTGTAGTGACCACAGGAAATTCAATCGAGAATAACAAAAGGACTTACCCAAACAACCATGCCAGGAGAGACCAACACGCACACCGAAAAAACAGAGACTACAAATAAAATTGTTCCGAACTTCAAAGTCCAGAAAATATTGAACGCCGACCCCTCTCAAGAAAGAACAGCCAATAGGAATTAAACAAAATAATTGACTAATACGCTAATACCTTGGAATGCGAGCTAAAGCAAAAGTTCATGCACCTTTTCTTTTAAGTGCTTTCAACAATTAACATTCCAGTGTAACCGAATTTCTTAGAAGAAGCCATAAATCAGGCACGAGCCTAGACGACGACACCACTTAACAAAACCACTTAGCGACTCCCTTGAAAATTAATTAAAAAGGGGACCAAATACTGCTAATTGATCGGATGATTCAACCACGGAAGAATTTAGGACAAGATAGCCGATCATCGAGTCATCGGAAAGACAAAGGGGGAAATTAAAATATAAAAGGAGAACCTGCTAACTAGAAAAGTCAGTCTAAGTTAAGTCGAAGCCTGCAGTCTAAGTCCGCAGTCTAAATCCGCAGTTAGTCTAAGCTAAGTCTAAGTCCGAAGTCTAAGAGTTCAGTCAGTTCAGTTCAGTCTGAGTCCGAAGTCTGTAGTTAAGACTGAGAAAAACCGGCGTAACAGTAAAACAGTGAACGGAAAAGCCACGTCGGTAAAACAAAACCAGTGTACGGGTTGAGATTCGCCGGTAATTACGTCAGTAAAGTAAACAAGAAGTGAGACCAGAATCTAAGAAGTCAGAATTAAGGCAGAAATAAAGAATTATCGAATTGCCGAGAGAGAAGAATACGTCGTGAATTAAATCAACATCGAGGCAGCGAGAAAAGTCGGTTTCATTAGTTAATAAAATACCGTAAAAATCCAACCGAATAGAATTCAAAGTAATTAAGTGTGTGCCACCAGTAAAGATAAAGTTAACTGTAAGTAAAGAATTTCCTTTTATGTCAGGCCATCAGAAATTGTAAAAGTTGTAAATTTGGCAAGAGTGCAAGTCGAGTCAAGCGTTATAATAGAAATTTTGTAATTGTTGTTTCCCAGGGAATTTTACGTTTAAATATTATTCAACATCCCCGTAGGTAGAAACAGGAGTTTATTTTTTGAGAACTGATTGTAAGATTAATACATTACCGACGCCCTTAGTCCAAATAAAACATTTTTATTAATTGACCAAAAAATTTCTGTGTTTTACTCTCACACCCGCAAATACGACCCACATCAATCTGTGTCTCCACTCAGAAACAAAGCTACCGCTCGCCAATTTCTACATCATTCCAAGTTTCTGAGTTGGGGTCTCACACCTTGTATAGAAAAAAACATTAATTTTCATTTCCATTTGTCTACCAATATTTTCTTATATTTCTTTTATTTTTTTTCCAATTTTTTTTTCTTAGTTTTTGTCTATTCCCATCTCTTGAGTTTCCATTTCCCAGTAAATTTCTCTAAATAGAGAAAATTCAAGAGCTTGGACTAGAAATAAAATACTTTGTCTCTACTTAAAGGGGGGGGGGGGGGGGGGGGTAGAGATTTTTTTTTTATACACTTATTAATTACAACAAAATTTTAACGAAAGACAAATTCTACAAAGTAAAGCACTAAAGGCATTGTATAAATATGATACGCTCACCAGTACCAACGTAGGTACCTACTACTATACAGTGAAATAGAGGCTACCTATTTCATTTGAGAAAAAAAATTAGCTATGATTGTTTGAAATGTCTCGTTTTGTATACAGTATTGCGATAACACCCTGTAGAATATTATCAGATTTCATAAGATCATGCATGAAATAAATGTAAATATGCACTAATAACCTGCAAAAGATTTAGCTTATAGGATATGAAGGAAATATGTTAGTTTTTTTTAACACATAGAAACTGAGATTTTTTGAAAAAAATTTCAAATATTTCAAAAACCGTGGAGTTTTAGTATAGGTAATTCCTAACAAAAAGTATGAAAGATTTTTAGAGCGATTACTGTACTTAAATATAGGGTGTTCCATTCGAAATAACAAAGTTCTGTCGCATACCCCATTTTAGGAGCACCCTGTATATTCAAAAATATTTTTGAACAATGCAGCTTTGGGTATCAAACACCTTTGTAATTTAATTTTTTTTTCTTGCATCACCCTGTACGGATATATCGTCCGATATCGCACTAACTGGACACCCTGTATAGCTATTTTGACGGCATTGGGATACATTTTTGGGCAGTGAACCTTTGGCGATACATTGTGGCACTTCATGATTTTTCCTTCATCCATTACCCCCCCCCCCCCCCCCCCACCCCCGCCCAGAAAATCAATGTATGGACCGCCACTGGCTGTCATTTGTAAAAGAGCATGGAAAAATTATAATTTGGGAATTTTCCAGGAAGCCGATAGCCGATGTTAACATATTGGCAAATTCACTACCAGTACAAAGTATAACAAACATATTAGAAGACATGTGTCAAAGAACAAAAATATATATCAAGCAGAAGTACATTGATAAGCACTGGATTACACATGAAATAAGAGAAATGATGAAGGAGTGGGATGCACTATATAAGCGAGCTGTTATTGTAAGGAATGATATTATTTGAAATGAGTATAAGATAAAAAGAAATGAAGTTGTAAAACAGATTAGGGTTGAGAAGGAGAAATACTACCAAGAGGCCATAGACGAAAATAAACATAATCCAAGAGAATTGTGGAAAAACCTAGAAACATTGCTTCCTGGAAAGACCCCACCATTCTCCTAACGAGGTTGTATTTGACAGCCTAATTTTTATAGATAAAATGAAAATAGCCACTGAATTCAATAAATTTTTTGTCACACACAACAGTATTTCTGAATTGATTGACAAACTGCCAAAAACCAAGGGTGTGAGACAGCAATGAAGTTTCCCGTCGAGGTTTGTATACTATTTTATTTTTAACCATAATTTCTTGAAAAAAAAAAAACGCAACAATCAAATAAATGAGGTCGGAAAATGAGGACGGGGAATGAGGACGGGAAATATTTCCCTGCTCCATTTTCCGTCCGTAGACGGGAAATGAGGACGGAAAAAATTTCCCGTCGTCATTTGCCGTCCTGAGACAGGTAATGGACCAGGAAAATGAAAAGACAGAAATGTGACATTTTCAAATTTTTGATAAGTCAGTAATGACAACATTTCATATATGGTTAAAAATAATAGTATATTACATACCGAGGTGGAAAGT